ACACTATATGATAATTATATGAGCAGACTGGAAAGAAATTGTGATATCTCGTTAGGGATATATAACCAAAAATGTGTTTTTGGAGTGATTTTTATGATTTGTTGTCTGATTATGCATCATGGCGTTCTTTTATGGTCCACATCAGGTTAACGACTTTTATGTATGTTGAACAACTTTTGTCTAACGTTTATAATGCCGGGTTGGTTCGTGTTAAATTATGTCTTGCTGGAGCGCAAGGCGTTGTTCTCTGACCGAACTACGTGATGGGGTAAAACGCCCCAGTAGGTCGTGGGGCAAAAAGCCCCTGGGGCGTTTTACCTCATGCGTTGTTCGGACTACCCACTTTCTAATGTTCGGTAGCTGGCGAACAGTAAGTTTCTATGCCCTTATATGTATTTTTCTCAGCAACTGGATGACAAAGGAAGTATTTTGTTAACATTTGCATTGCATTAATTTATTATTTGGCTTTATGAGGCAGGTGAAAAACCTGCTCATATAGTGTCATAGCTGAACACCTGATAGGATGGAATGTGCTAAGCTCAGTGCCGTGCCTCCAGAGGTCTAACGGACCTCTCACATACGATTTAGCCAACTACCATGTTTAACCTTTAATCTAAAGTATGGGGCTACTTGCCCCAGGCCGTGGGGCGTTTTGCCCTGGGGTTGGGGCAAAATGCCCCATTTGCAGTTGCTTCACAAATCACTTCCTAGCTTGGAGTCCGATCATAAGAGAGAGTGAATTTAAGGGGTGCAATTTAAAGTAAAATGTCCAAAAAACGCATTGAGCACAAATTTGCCCTTCCAGGTGATGTGGGACAAAAGTTATATAGCAAAATAAATTATCTGGGGCGTCTTGCCCCAGGCTACCCTATTTTCGTGATAAATAAGCAAGGTATCCGTCGCACAACGTCATAATAAGTAAAGGCATCAAGAATAAGTTTGTTTTTATACGACGTTTATTGGTTAGCTAACAAACATCGGCAGTTTTATTACACCACACAAGCATCTTTACGCAAAACAGGATAATGTAACAGCATAACAGATGTTCAAATACCTAAATGATATGTTTCCATGCAAAGCAAGTGTATCCATACGCGAATGAGTGTTGTGTCGCACTGGTAATTGCGGTACACATCCAGAGCACCGTTCGTTTACGTCAACCCGTGTAAATTTAGCGAAAATTCGAGCTAAATGCTGACGGCGGCGGCGCCATTTTCGCAATCTGTCAGTTGTGCGCCGGGGACCGCGGGGGCCGGCGGGAGAGTGTTGTGGCTGCAGTGCGCAGAGTGGGTTTGCCCATTCTTGTGCGATCAGTGAGGTAAAACAGTGCTGTGGTGTTTATCTAGTTCGATAATAAGTTGAGTAATGAGTGAATAAGTGAATAATAAGTGAAATACTGCATTGTGGTCATCGTCTGATAACTGCAATCAAGACCGAGTCTGAAATCTGAAGCGGAGCGACATGGGAGGAGCTGCTGGAAATTATCCAGATTTGTTGGAGTGCTAAGGTGGGCTTGTAATTTTTCAACTGAACTGCTGTCATGTTATGAAAATAATGGATGCACTTTCATGCTTTCCTAGGGTTAATTAGGCATAGGTATGCTAATATTTTGCCAGATAGGTAACAGAAAGCCGATGGCTAATTAAATGAACGATAATTTTGGCACAGTGAAGTAGTGCGTACAGATGACATATTTTTTTTTTATTTATTAATTACGGGCAGTTGACGGGAGACGGGCGGTGGCTGCAGCCTGTAGCGGCGCCCATGCGTTGTGAAATATCAGCTTATATACATGATAAGGTATATACGATAATCTAACTTTTATTTCCGTCGGATGTGATGTCGATTCTTAACAATAAACGACAAACAAACAAACGTGTTTGCAGCATGGGGTAGGCATTGAGCATCACAATGTTTCGTTGCATTAGCTAGGCTCGCGGCTGGCGACAACGTCCCGCCGCGTGTCGCTTGCGTTACAAATTTTGCGGGCCCAACATTAGCTTTACCAGGAAAAAATTGTTATAATAACCGTCATATTTGTGTAAATTTACCGCCATGAATTTGTGTACGATTACCACGCGAGTGTTCCTTTTGGTACTTTTTACCAAAAACACATATTTGTGCGTAAATGTAACGCGAGATCCGCGGTAAAGTTACACTGAAAGCGGTTCTCCTACACAATAGTGAAGCACTCCGAAGCTAGCAAAACACACATATAAGTGTTCTTTTACCCAGAAAACAGAGTAATTTTACACCAAAAAAAAATGTTCTTTTTGGTACTTTCAATTACACGTTTTTCCGCTCAATATTTCTGTGTGTGTACAAGTTTGTACCTCTTACCCTTCAAGGTCAGGTCACCAGGTCACTTTGAATGACCCGACCTCAAATCACTTTTTTGCAACTTTGCTACCGTGTCAGAGCTACACTAGATGACGGAGCGCCTTGGAAGTTGCAGGATTTAATGAGGCCATCAATAGGCCAGATACCTACATAAACCATTGTATAGGTATATCTGGGAATTTTTTATATCGATGGCCTAAGGTCAGGTCTATTTCGTGACCTCCCCATTATAGGTCAATGGGGGGAAAATGAGCAGCCTGATTTTTTTTTTGCACCGAAACTAGTAATGGCCTGTTATGCCACACATGATTACATTTATGACCATGTGCGCCATAAATAGCCTCGTTGCTGGTGCGCCCTAAAACACCAAATCATCATCATTTATGACCAACCTTGACTACCTTGATATAGTAATTGCTATTGGACAACTGTAAGGTCATCAACGGTCAACAACGGTGTTTTGCTATTAACTCTTTACAGAAAAGAGATACAGCTTCGTGAATGGTCTCATTGTGTTCAGCTCGTCAAGGCGCATCGGATGATGTACATGATGACCTTGAGGTCACGTGAACTGAGGTCAACCTTTGACCTCGACCTTTCGAGGTCAACATATTTATGTTTCTATTTGGATTGACGAGAGGATCAGCTATTACTTTTGGCTTGGCTTTATTATTTCAATCATTATTCGTGAAAACTGTCCTTAACTCTGTCACCGCAATTTTGACTTTTTTACCCCTATGACGTCATTTTGACCTGACCTGAAAATGACCACAGTAAAAATTTTGGACCTTCTACATATTTATCCCTTACCGTTTACCACTTGTCGCTAGCTTGCTCCGTTTTCGAGATCTTAGGGGGGGGGGGGGGGGGCGGTCATCCGCGCCCCCCGTCGGTGCGAAGTTGGCGCGGACCCCCGTCGTTAAGCGAGTTATGATCATATAACGAGGCGGCTGTGATGCGCCGGCCGCCGATACTCACTGCATCGCTACTCCAGCGGTAAGAGTCAAAATGGACGCGGTGACCTTGGGTGATGTGTTAGACCTGCTTTTATTCTCTTGGGCAACGTCTAGGTGAATGTTGCTGGTTGTCTCCACATAAATATGACTTGCCCTCGTTTTCTCTAAATGGCGTTTTGAACTATATTAGTAATCTTAAATAACATCTATGTATTTGATCGAGCAGTTTTGTCATATATGTATTACTCCCGAACATTAGTTCAACATCGTGTCATATTCGTTGTTCATATTGTCTATTTCGCTCGCTTCGGTAGTCTCTGGGTACTGTTTCGGTCTTGTAATCGGATGGTTGTGGGTTCGAGGCGTGGATGGCTAATATCCTTTTAGATGTGGCGGGCGTACAAATTTTATCAGTTAGCCAGTAGCCACATACATGAGCATGTATTCAGAGCTTAATAATTGACATTGCAGGAAACAGAGAAGTTTTGAAATAAAAGGTGGGCAGAATTGATACTGCCCACCTAAATTGGCCGCATTAATACCGACCGGCGAGGCGGCCCGCATTGATACTGACCGGCCCGTATTAATACGGGCCGGCCCTCCGGTCGGTATTAATACGGGCCGGGCAGTATCAATACGGGCCGAGTTCTCAAACGGTCCGTAACATACACACTACACAGGCAGTGATTCAGACACTGTGGTATGAGGGAAAAAGTATTTTTTATGTACATGCCATGCCAATCACCAATGTCTTGTAACATTATATCCAATATCTGCAGAGCGATTTCGACCGATATTTTTTTCTTTCAAATAGCGCCAGAGTGTCAAAGTAAGAATTGGCTTTTGGGTAGAATTCAAATTGCCTCTCTGACCGAAAGGGCGATGTTGATATCTTAGGTAGGCCTAATGACACATTGTTTTCCTATATACCTTATTCTTCTTTTACACATATAGCTATTGTTTCAGATCACGTGGTCAGATATTCGATATCTTTTGCATAGTGTACCTAACTGTGGTTATGTTACATTAGCCCTCGAACATATTACCGTTTTCACAGCAGCCAATGGGGGGGGGGGGGGGCGAGGAGACTCCCTTCCCCAGCCCTTCGGCCCCAGACTGAGCTAGAGCATTGCGGAAGTGCGATGCTCGAACGTGTGGCGAACTTTGACTCCCGTTCCATTCTCCCATTGGTGCACAGACTGAGCTGGTTGCGTTCTCTGAGATCACGGGCGGCGCAGCAGTCTGGCTGGGCGGTAGAGCGTCATCAGTAGGTGAGTACTGAGTATAGGTGCAATTCCTATTACCGTGAGTAAGTGCGTCTGTCAAGAAATATGGTTTATTACATCTGATTGTGCCTGATGCATGCATGCTTTCAGGTCCAGTTTCGGACGTTTCTTGTGTCGTTCATGGGGCAGAGTCCATACAGAATAGATGATACAGTACCTAGGTACTTATCTGTTACGTTTGAAGCAAAATATAATAGCTTACACACAAACTTTTTATACCTACCCACTTAATATCTACACCTACTTTTTATATACCTACCCATATTTAATATTTACATCAATCATTTCAATATGAAAACGCCAACACACTAACTCAAATTTTGCCAACTCACCTGGCTTGTACCTACCTGCAGCACTTTGCATTCAATTACTTCGTTGCACCTTATCTGATCTGAAGGTGTCAGATTTCGTCAGCAGCATGTGCTTTACCTACCTGTTCACAGATGCGCCCATGCAGTGGCGCCCGCTGAAGTCGACCCTCGGAGGAGTTAACGCGCTCACTAACGGACCTATCTCTGAATGGGCCAACTCGACGATGCTGCAGAGACAGTCTGGCTACGACTGTTTGTCGCTGCCGAGCCTCACTCCAGCCTCGTGCAGCACCAACAAACGAGCGCTGTGCGTCAAGGCGGCAGGTAACGTGAACCCGCGCGGCTCAGGGTATACTGAGTGAGGCTTCCAGCACCGCAGCTTAGTAGTTCAGGCACAGTGCAGCCACAGTTCAGGCACACATGACATCAGTCACAGCACGGAATAAAGTATAGGACACTATCGTACCTCCTATATATTCCGTGGTAACAGTACCTATGTCATATTTGTTACAGCAGGGGCACTTAACGTATGCTAGATATTATCAATAAGTACAAATGTCACGACTAAGTTCGATAGCACAGTACAATCAAAGTATAGCATAGTTTAGGTTAGTCTTGATTTCAACACGGGATAGTTTTTTTTACATTAGCTGTACAATTACGTGCTTTACAGTTTTCTTCCTTATTTTTCTTACCCGTTTGAAAATAAGGAATCATTATAAGTATTTCTATAGGATTCTAAGTATTCAAGTAATTCAATAGATAGTAGACGATATTTTGCAAGATATTTTTTTAGTTAAACATTAAAATATAATGTTACTTTGAAGTTATTTTCACCTGCGACTGAGCTGCGTTCTGTGGGTGCCGTCTACTAAGCTACGTTCGGTGGATATCGTTAATCTCTGAGGGCTGCTCCATCCACTGACTTATGTATGCGTTCGGCGGGGCCGCCAGACGCCGGCTGCCCGGCCGGTTTCCTGCGCTCGGGCTCGGCCTGTGTGTACGCCTCCATGGCGCCGGCGACGTTCTCGGCGGCACGTGCCTCGTGCGCTAGTCTGATGTCGGAGCTGTACGAGCCGCGCGAGCCGGGCCTGATGCTGCACGTGCGGAGTCTGGTGGCGACGATCAACAGCGGTGACCACTGGATCGGACTGGAGGAGAAGGTGAGGAAGCCGCTGACAGGCGCCAAGTGCGAGCTCTGCTGCCGCATAGTCCGTACAAAAAAAAACCTATGAAATACCAATTTTTGTTTCTGTGCGGGAATAACAATCAGGCAAAAGTGCGATAACTTATTTCAAAATAAACAAAACGAATAAAAATGGTACAAACAACCGAAACTATAATTTTTATGGTTTCAGAGATTCAGAACGAATTTCCGCTCATCTTATTTATGCTTCAAAGCTCATGTTAAGCATTATATCTAAATTCTTCCCTGCCCGTCCCGTCCTCCTTTGCCGCAGTACCCGGGCGACTTCCGGTTCGTCTCGGACCACAGCTCGCCCCTGTTCTCGTTCTTCGACGAGTCGTCGGGCGTCGGTCCGATCAACGACGGTAGTTCCTCCGGGCCATGTGTGAAGATGGCTACCAACGGCCAGCTCGGATCGGCCGACTGCGATGACCAGAAACACTTCATCTGCCTCTACAAGCCAAGTAAGGAAAAAATTATTAGCATGATCTCCATATCGGGCCTGAAAGCCCTGTCCCAGTCGCTGCGTTTTGCCGGCTTCAAAATATCGGCCCACTCTCTATTTTATTGTTTTCAATTTCGATTACTGCAACCTCAACACCAAATAGTCAACTAACGTTTCAAAACATTGCTGGCAGTGCTGTCCGTCATATAGTCATTTCCAACTGCTTAATTAAGTTCGGGCTAGGGCTGCACGGTTGAGGAGTTTATTTAGGCGCTACTGAATTCACCTAAGAGGACTTGATGTCCAATTGTTAACAATTGTCTCCCTTGTGCCAGCATGAACCTGCCGCTGGCAAGTGTCATACAGTCCCATGTATGTATACCTCGTCATTTCAGTCACCAATCACGTGTTCAAGCGCCAATGCAACTCTGTCGATATAATTATACCAAACCCTATATTTGATACCTCCTAGGACCTCTGTGCCCGGCCGGGTTCGTCTCATTCGGAGAGACGTCGGACTGCTTCTACCACATGGTGGGCTCGGCGGAGCGGAGTGGCGCCCAGGCGCGCTGCGCCGCGCTCGGTGCCGCGCTCGGAGAGATCCGAGAGACGGACACGCTGAACAGCTTCCGCACCTGGCACGGCAACACCGCCAGCCGTCTTTGGACCGGTGTCACCGACCTGGCCGAGGTGAGCGCAAGATATTTCGATGTTACTGGAAATGTACAGTTGGGCACAGCTTCCTGTTGATAATTTTGAACACCACAAACCTCTTCTGATCATTCCTTTGTTCCACTGATCATGATCATTCACCGAATTGCGACAGACAATGTGCGCACCTCCATGACATCATCTCCGACTTATACACATACCAAACTTCAATGTCTGCCGGCAGAACAACAAGTTCACGACGTCCGACGGTCTGGTCCCAACCCTGCTGCCGTGGGGCACCGGCCAGGGCGGCGACACCTCTCTGGGCTGCACCTCTCTGGACAGGAACGTGGTCGCCGACTCCACCTGCGAGAGCAGCGCCGCCGACGGCTACCTGTGCGTCCACTCTCCAGGTGCGATGTGCGGCGGTCCTTGTGTTGGGTCGAGGCGTAGCCTGATCGGGAGTTTCTCCTTGAGCACACATAAAACACAGTCCAGACGTTTTGTGTTACAAGGGCAGCGTTCGACTAGCAATCCCGATGTAGCAATCCCGATCAGCTGGTTGAGGAAGGTGTGAACCTGAGACGCTTTGCCCGTTGCCTACAGCGGTCGGCCACTGTCCGTCGGGGTTCCTGGAGCTGGCGGGCCGCTGTTACCGCTTTTCACCTACCGCGGCTACCTACACGGCGGCCACCAGCGAGTGCCAGAAGCTGTCCTCGTCCCTGGCGACCATAGACTCAGCCGAAACGGCGGTAAGACCGTGGGTGGGTGGCAGGGGGGGGGGGGGTCAATTGGGGGGCCTGGGTATAGGTAAACTGATTGACGTGAAGAAACGCCGGCAGCAAGATCTGATTAGTTATAGGTGGCTATTTAAACTGGTCTTTTCACAACAAAGTACGAATAGTTGAACGTGTCAAAATCATTATGTAGTATGTATTTACTTCTAATCCTGGTCTCCCGATATTCGATTAGAACATTGTTGTATGTCAACAAAATATAATGAGTGATAATGCCGCATGCATTGCTGACTGACTGTGGCGCGTCCTGTTGCAGCTTCTGCTCTCATCCATTGAGTTGTGGGACAAACCGTCATTCAGCTGGTTCGTCGGGCTGAAACTCAACGCCGACACCGGTGTTTGGCAAAACTACGACCAGTCGACTCCCGATTCCGTAAGAAATAATTCTCAGTCAGGTTGCGTCGGATGGTCATAATCCTCAGGAAAATTTCTTTTTTGATCCTTTTTCCTGTTTGAATTCATTGACCAATGACCATACTGTCGCGCATAGCGTGTTCAGTGAGTTGTTTCGTCTATAGAGTTGCTGGTATAAAGCTAGCCAGGCTGACGTCTAAACCTGTTAAAGGGAAGACGAGAAGCTATACGATAGTTATTACCTAAATAATTATGCAATTGTTTATGAATGCGCATATTTAGGTGTATAAATATTCGACATATTTACCTTACGACATTATAAATTATTAAACACATTTTGCCTACGTAACAATTGATGATGGTTGCTTAGCGCATGTAGGTAATCCATCATCCTAAAGGATAATCTGAACTGTCAAATGATTCATGCCTACCTCATATAACCAGACGCGTTGCCGTGTGCATGCGTTCTCACTACTGCAGAGTGTGTGGGACACACAGCCCACGGGCCAGGATTGCGCCGTGCTGGCCAAGTCGACAGGAAACCGGCTGCTCAGCCCCGTAGCGTGCACCGCATCTTACAAATTCATCTGCGAGTGGCAGCCAGGTCAGTAAAAAGTCTGTCCATCAAGACAACATGAATTAGAACCTACAAATAGAGGTAGACTTATTCTTCAGGACGCGGAACTATCCATTGATGTGTTGCTCAGACCAAGATTCTCACAGATATAACTCAGACCAGGCCGAGCAGATTGGCTCTGAGCCCCGTCTCTGACCAGATCGTGTCTTCTCTCTCAGATATGATGAACGACGCCATCCCAGCCATGAGCCCCGACGGCGCCTGCTTCTTGGACATGCCCTACCCGGAGGACCCAGACTTCCGAGGTGAGCATCGAATCTGCCGATTGTAGTCTGCCTTAGACTTCTCTATTCATTTTTTTTTTTACTTTTAGCATAAATGTGGTATGAGCTATGTGTTTACGGGACGATTTAATGTGACTTTTCGGTGACCGCAAGGGAAAGCAATCGATAAGAAATTATAAGCTGAGGCCTCTTGCACCAAACATACCTAGCTAGGTAAAATCGAAAAACCGGTTTCAGAATAAGCTAATCAAGCGGTGGTAAATTTGTTGGCAATAGCCCAATACATAATCCTACAGGTGCTTGGTAAATTTTACACGCAAATTGTCACATTTGAGTCTTAGATTGGGTATATGTACGATGCAAAATAATCCAAGCATTGGTGCAAGGGGATTTTGGTGCAAGAGGCCTCTGTTCTGACCTTTCTAGACCTGATGTGTAACACATGTACAATAATTGTCAGATATTTTTTTTTTTTGTTTAAATTATTAGTAGTTTCTCTGCTGACCGAGAACCCGCCGTCTGCAGTGTCGCCGGGCGACTACGAGCCGACCAAGCTGACCCCAGACATGTGCTCGGCACGCTGCCAGTCGCTGCGCTTCATGTATGCCGGGCTCAAGAACGGCATGTTCTGCTTCTGCAGCAGCGTTCTGCGTGAGTGGCCGTGAGATACCAGACCAGAGCCCAACAATGCTGAGAGTTACTTTCAGTGCATGACCACCAGTACCGAGAGAGTCGCTATAGCTAAGCGGGTGGTTACCGACTTTGCGAGCTGTCGTATATGTAGCTTGAAGCTGCCATGGTGACAGGGTATGTGGCCAGTCACTAATCAGCAGCCATCACTGACCCCGGCCTAAGGAGTCGAGCGGTTCTGACCGCCACGACCTCTCCCTATCTGTAGCTAACACGATTTATTCGCCCACAGGCATTGAGCGGGCAGATGCTAGCCTCTGCAGCGAGCCGTGCACCGGTGACCCGAGCCTGACCTGTGGCGGTATCGACGAGTACGTGCAGGTGTACCGCACCGGCGGACAGGTCAGTTGATTAATGCTTCAGTCTACCCACCCGTCCCCACCGGCGGACAGATCGGTCTGGACGGGACATTCCACACTTGTACTCCACTGACTCTGTCACCCTGGAGTGGGAGCTATAGCCTCTGTATCTGTGTTGAAGCATCGAATTAACAGTTTGGGTAGTTAGCATGAATGAAGATGTAATTGAAATACTTGGAACGATTTTGTTTATACATAAGGGCAAGGTTTCAAATATTCCGAAACAATATATCTACAGACCTGTTTTCGAATCCCGAAGGTGCCTCTTCCGTCATTTTCGCCGACTGTATGCTAATGCGGTGACCTGCAATCACTGACACTGAGATGCCGGTCTCGGCCGCAGGCGGAGATCCAGGGCGCCTCCATAGCCGTGGAACAGACCACCATCCAGCCCGTGGACACCCTGTTCAGCTTCACTGCCAGCGTGGAGGTCGGCGAGCAGGTCCTCATCTCGTGAGTATTGCTGGCGGAGAACCTACTCTTCATCTCCTTATAAATTACCACAGTGCGAGAATTTCTTGTAACGTTTCTTGGGGCCGGCAGCATCCTGACTGGAGCCGTTAGCGTGGTTGGTAACGTAACGTCCCGTCCCTCGCCGTTCCCGCCAGTTACGATTTGGGCGACGGCAGTGACGCCACGCTGCCTTCTGAAGAGGCCACTGCCATCACCCACCAGTACAGCCTGCCGGGAGAATATACGGTCACGGCCATCTTCACCGACGTCCCGGGCGTCGCCAAGGTGGGAGACGGTCATGCTGTAGAAACGTAGCGGCTCACTTTTATACGACGCAATTTTACGTATTTTGTCCTTTCAGTTCCACACTTCCGAAAAAGTTCTTATTTACATTAGCAAAATGCTGTTTTCGTTATCTTTATCAGTGCGGGCTCGACTGTTGCATCTTCATCAGTTCATCTTGTAGTCTTCGGTTTTGCGGTTATTATCGATAAATCGTCAGCGGTAAACCACTTTGCCGGTGACCACTGACCAAGTGACCAAGTTAACAAACCACTTTGGCGGCCAGTAACATCCTTCCTGTCCCCAGCCGCGGTACGACCAGACCAGTAACGGCCAAATAACACACTCCCTCCCATGTCCCTCAGCCGCGGTACGACCAGACCAGTAACGGCCAATAACACACTCGCTCTCTGTCCTCCAGCCGCGGTACGACCAGACCAGTAACGGCCAAATAACACACTCCCTCACTGTCCCCCAGCCGCGGTACGACCAGACCAGTAACGGCCAATAACACACTCGCTCTCTGTCCCTCAGCCGCGGTACGACCAGACCAGTAACGGCCAAATAACACACTCCCTCACTGTCCCTCCAGCCGCGGTACGACCAGACCACTGTGACGGTGGGCGAGGAGGTGGGACAGGTCGAGTTCGACTGTCCCGATCTCACCGAGCCCGGAGACGAGATCAGCTGCCAGCTGTGGCTCGTCACCGGGGCCCACCTCAAACTCACTCTCGAGATGGACAAGGGCTTCGTCGATGGAAAGGAGTACACGATTCCGGGTCAGTTGCAAGGCTGGGGAGTGCAGCTCCAATGAATGTTGGTGAATGTACGGTTTGCCCTGCTGAATTGGCAAGAAGCCTAGCCTAGCCTAAAATAAGCCTAGCTAATTCAGAGGACCGTTTTGTTGCCACGCAACGAATAAAGTCGCTGTCCAGCGAAGCAATCCCATTTGCTTTTTCGGGCATGAAGAGCCAACTACCTGAATGCGCCGCCTGCCTTTTTATGACCTGTCTATTACCGATCAGAACTCAGAAGGCATATGTTTTTCGCTGCCCATTTGTGGCGTTCAGCTGTTGAGCTGACTGTTGTGGTACCGCTTGGCGACAGACCCGGTGGTGTCAGCGCTGGGCCTGCCGCCTCCGCAGCACCCCACAGAGGAGCTACAGTCGGCCCTGCCTTCGTTCAGACTGGGCCAGCACGGGACGACCACCACCGGCACAACACACAGCCGGAGGCGCAGAGAGTACGTCGCTCAGCTACCGATCAGTCCTTAATCATTTGCTGTGATATGCCAATCGGAAAGCTATGGAACAGGACACACGTTCACTTTGTCATCAAGCCTTTGTCATCATCACTTTCAACTTTTCTATGATGAGCTAAGAGGTATTATGGTAGCATGTTAGCAGTAACGTTATGATAGCACTTGGCACTCTACCTACCTTTGTAAATAATGACGTAGCAGTGAACAGGAGTAGCGCACGAGTGGCTGGCGACTTCATGGTGTGCTTGCTACCTTACAGAATCCGTTACGGAAATCCGGTAGACAGCTCTGCACACAGCAGTGCACAGGACGTCGGTGTCGCTGTGAACGCATTGTCCTCCGGCGCTGCCGTCGGCGGCGTGCAAGGTGGGTACGCCACCACCAAAGCCCGGGTGGAACCATGCTCAGACTGGCTCGACAAATGGTCATCTAAGCTGAGAGGTAGTTAGAAGAGAAGAGAAGGCGTTTATTTGACTGTTGGTTTGAGTCTTTTTTTAGATCCATTCGGTCCGGCAAGAGCATTAAGCATGGTCATGGTACAACAGAATGGAGGGCAACTGTGGGACCACGTGGATTTGATATCCCGAGTCTCGACAGCTGTCTTGAGTCTGTTGATTTCATGTCGCCAGAAAAACCTGATTCTATGCGATTTCGCAGGGGATACCTACGAGGCGACAACAGTGGTTATGCCCTGGGCCAAAGTCACGGATGCCGTCGTCCTGGTCGGCTTTGAGTACTACGCCACCAAAGCAGGAAATCTGAAACTGATGGTAATCCCGAACTCATTACTGTGAACCGATATGTGACATGCGCAAGTTCCAATAAATCAAAACGAAGTGCCAAAAACACGACGTAACGTCCCAGACAACGTGTGCCGTGCCTTTGCCCTGACTGATGCTCCTGCAGCGGCGCCATTCGCCTTCGCCGTGACCCTTGACGTCGCGTGTGCTCGTCGTCAGGTATTTCGTCCCACCTGTCCCGGCGGCTCGTACTGCCACTCGACCGGCACCTGCGACGACGGGCTCTGTAACGATATCGAACACAGCGCCGTGTCATGTCCGGACTCTAACCCGCTCTACGCTCCAATGCGGCAGTGCCAGCAGGTAAGAAATAACCCTATCGCCGCGAACACAACCACAGAGTGATGACAGCAGTGGCGGGTGAAATGTAAAACGATCCCGCGAAGTGTATGGAAGTCCATGTAAGTGTATCTGTGGCAGATACTGCTTGCTGTAATTTTGCCTTATGATATCAACCAAAGATGAAATTGATCAAAATTGCATGAAGGGGATGAATGAATGGATGCATGGATTGATGAAATTGCCCATGCCAGCCTCACCTAAGCAGCGGTGACCGCAGGTCTTCTGACCGCTATCCCTCTCGTCCCACAGTCGCTGTGCACCGCCGGACCTACCGCCTCTCCGACCGTCTCTTCCGACGGCAACAGCACGTCTCTGCCGGCTGGCCGGCCCGGCTACAGCGCCGTGTACTCGGTCACGGAGCAGGTGGCCGCTGTCGGCTACGGTAAACTGCTGGTGGACACCAGTCTGGAGACGGCCACCTGGCTGCAACCCGGCGACGTGATCGGATATGAGAGCGACGGCGCCGTCATTGGCTGGAGACCCGCCCGCCCGGGCCAGGAGCAGGATGGTGAGCGAGGGAGAAGTTCCGATAAGAATGTTTCGAACTTATTGGTGCAGAATATCGTTGAACGATAACGATCATGCATTTTTATGCCAAACTAGTTATTTTAGTGTTGTATTAGTTATTTTTAGTTTTTAGTTAAACTGTGTTAAACGGGAGCGAAGTTGTCGCATTTTTGTGGGAATTATCAGTGAAAGTAAACAGTAAGAACTGCTCTGGCCATAAATAGCACCGAACACATTGAAATCGGTTGATTTGTACTTGCCTCAGTTTATGCCTTTCTTCCCGTGATAAAATTTCCGAACATTGCGGCTTGTCGGTTAGTTTGTGCGGGTGAAGTGTCTCGCTATTGTCCTGACACGCTGGTACCTCTCAGCCCCGGAGCTGGCGGCGCTGGGGCCGCAGTGGCTGGATGACGACTCCTCGGGGTCTCTGGACTCGCGTCACTACCTGCGCGCCATCGTGTCGTCGCCGCTGCAGCTGACTATCAACCACACGTACGACGTGGTGGGCGCTTACCAGGCGTTCGCCACCGTCTCCACCACGGGCGACATCGTGTCCGAGACCAGCGCCGGACAGGCCATCGACGTGCAGGTCAGCGGGGCATCGACGTGCAGGTCAGCGGGGCATCGACCAGCGCCGGACAGGCCATCGACGTACAGGTCAGCGGGGCATCGACGTGCGGGTCAGCGGGGCATCGACATGCAGGTCAGCGGGGCATCGACGTGCAGGTCAGCGGGGCATCGACGTGCGGGTCAGCGGGGCATCGACATGCAGGTCAGCGGGGCATCGACGTGCAGGTCAGCGGGGCATCGACCAGCGGGTCAGCGGGGCATCGACGTGCAGGTCAGCGGGGCATCGACGTGCAGGTCAGCGGGGCATCGACGTGCAGGTCAGCGGGCATCGACCAGCGGGTTAGCTAGGTGGTTGGAGGCGACAGCCCGACACGGCATGGTGGCCACGGGCACGGAGCTAACTCATCCTCTCGAGTATGTCCTCTCGAATACAGAGCCATGACCACATTCTTAATGCCGTAGTTGAGTCAGCAGGTGGTCAGCAGGTGGCCAGCAGCAGCAGTTTAAAATTGCTACCTTACCTATTCAGTGGCTGTTTATTGTAATCAGCATGACGTAAAAGGCAATGTCAGCAACTCGACTTGGATATATAATTGACCCAGCCCCGCGCTTTCAGGTTCCCATCACTGGCTTCAAGGTTACTTTGGATCCTGAACACGTGACCACCAACAACAAGACCAATGCCACCGTCCTCATCAAGACGGGCAGCTTCGTCAAGATCACGTTTGACTTCGGCGAGACTCACCTGGGCGCAGCGAATGTTATCGAGGAGGCAGACAGTAAGTGGGGTGAAACACATCCGCCGAAATCAGTATTACGTTCTTATTTTGACATTCTGCTGCATCTAGCTTTTACCTACTTCAGCGGCATCTCTCATCTGGTTGTCGAGGTTGTCAGCTTAATTATTGCATCTTATAATTGCCATCTTAGTGATCCAGACAGCGTGCTCAAAAACTCATTCCTTATTGAAATAAAAGAGTAGAACATATGCACGTGCCAAACCAATATCTTTAACCCGCGCCCCGTTGGGCTCTGCCGAGCAACGCGCCCCGTTGGGGGGGGGGCATTTTGGCCCCCCCCCTAAGATCTCGAGAACCACGCAACCTAGCGACAAGCGGCAAACGGTGTTGGATAGCCCTATCAGGGAACTACCTTGTGACCCAATTTTATTGACCTAGGTCAAACCGATGACGTCACAGGTCAGGTCAAAGGTCCAATTTTCACCGTTTATAGGCATTTCAAGAAATGCGTTGTAAAATCGAGTAAAATGCATTTCATTGAAAATCATCGATGGGGAAATGTTCTTCAAACACATATTTTGCTATTTGAGGTCACTGATACCAGGTCAGGTCACAGAGGTCAGGTCACTGGGGGGTCACAATATGAAAGTGTCGTGTGATACATGTTTTATGGTCCATTTCACATGACAAATGCGATTATGTGGGTCAGGCAGCCTTTGGGGCCAGCCTAGGTCACGTTTTGGTCAAGGTCAGGTCAAGGTCAGGTCAAGGTCAGGTCAAATTAGGTCAAATTTCAAAGTTGATATTTTTGCATAAAATGGGTATCGAATCGATGCAGCTCCTCACGGGGAGTTCAATGGTGGTCTTTGTTTTGCCGTACGTGGTCTAGAATCGCTAAAAATTGAGTTCAAAAATTTGACGTCATCATTTTTGAACAGTTTTTTTGCTATAACTTGGCCAAAAAACGAGATATCGATCTGAAATTTGGTATGTATATAGAAGAGCGCAGGGACTATCACACATATTCCGGTTTTTTCGAAATTCGGAAAATTTTGGATTTTTCTTTAGTTTTTCTAAAAAAAATCAATTTTTTAAATTTTTGGGGGTCAAAAACCCAAAATTTTGAAAATCCGAGATGGCAGTTTTGTAGCGCCGCTTTTTGTCTACTAGACCATATAAAGAACTTTAAAATTGCTTGATAACTGTAGATTTGGTGAGCGTTTCAAGATTGCATGTTTTTTGCTCATTTTTGCTCGAACATGACCTCAGTTTGACCTCAATAACTCCTGACCTAAGGTGACCTAAGACTTGAAATTTTGTGTGAAGGTGTCAAATTGATGCCCGGGAAGGTACTGAAAATTTGGCGGCGCTGCGCGCGGCCGTTTTCTTGCTATTTAGGAAAAACCACAGGGGGGGCCAAAATGGCCCCCCCCCAACGGGGCGAGGGTTAACTCTGTCCACTATTTCAGCGATCGAGAACGACGGCTGGTCGCAGATCTACTGGTACAAGCGGGGAGACCCCGGGCCGCGCTACGTCATCATTACTGCTGAGAACAAGTGGGGTCGGGAGACGTACCGACACACGCTGTACGTGCAGCGGGCCGTCACCGACAAATGGTACCTGGTGGACAACGCGCCCGTCCTCTGGCCCATTCCCGGTGAGTGTCTACATCATCTGACCTTCTCTGGAGAGAGGTCTTCTCTCCTCAGGGGAGCGGCTACAAATCTCGTTAGTGAGTGTCCATCCGACCTCTGGAGAGAGATCCTATGTCCTCAGGGAAGTGGCTGCCACTTTTACGGTGATATTTGCCACACGTGACATAAGCTTCATGTCAACTTCCTCTAGGCCTCGGTGGCGTCAGTTTCAGTTCGGTGTTTTGTCCCAGGTGATGCCAGTTTCACGCTGGTGTTTTTCCTTGGGTGACATCAGTTTAATGTTGTTGTTTTACTGAGCTGGGTGACTTAAAGTTCACGGTGTTGTTTTTTCCCGCAGGTGACGTCAATTTCACGGTGGTGTACCCGGCGGGGCTGCCGCTGCCCACCATGGCCTCTGCCGAGCTGTACACCGGCGACGGTTACGTGTTCGAGTGGGAGATTCCCGAGGAGCGCGAGGCAGGAGAAATATACGAGATCGGCTTCAACAGGTCGGCATACAGTGCTACTTACTCTACATTCGTTGCCGTCTTCAGTAGCGGCGAAACACCAATTCAATTACAGGGGGGGGGGGGGGCCGGCACTGCCGACTTTTGGTTACGAGCGAGCGAGCGCAGCGAGCGAAGCGAAGTCTTTTCAATATAACGGAAAAATCTCAGTATGAGCGGCCCGGCCCGGCCCGGCCCGGCCCGGCCCGGCCTGTAACGCTTTTGAGAGGCTTATATCTCAGTAACCGCTGGACCGATTGGCCTGCGGTCTTTTTTGTTGGGTAGCCCCATCCCTTCTACCCCGTAATTGACTACTTTTGATACATCTCAGTGACCGTCGTGGCACGAAAAGTCAGGGGTGTTCAAGCTGTTTTGCAAAAGTAGTGTTTTTGAGAGGCACATATCTCAGCAGCCGCTTGGGCAATTGTCTTGCAGTAATTTTTATAGGGTAGCTGCATCCCTTCTACCAAAGGTCGAATACTCTTGAACTATGTGAGTGACCCCCACTGCACGTGCAAAATACAAAAAGAAGAGGTGCCAAATTTGTTCCCATTTCAGTAACTCGGTAATTACTGGGGCGATTTCCCTGAAACTTGGCATACAGGTAGGCACCCACCAGGCAATGCATTCCCATGTGTTGCGGTTAGGGTGCTACTGCACGTGCGCACGTGCAGGGGGCGTTTCCAGATCTCGAGAACGGCTGGGCCGATTGCGCTCAAATTTGGTACACGGTTGGGGACCGGTTAGTAGGGTGCCGTGCAAAAGTCATTTTAGACCCCGTTTGCACGTGCGCACGTGCAGAATGCCGCTTCCAGATCTCAGGAACGGCTGGGCCGATTGCGTTCAAATTTGGCACACCGCTAGCGACCGGTTAGAAGGGTGCTTTGCACAAGCCCGTTGGAAGTACCCTCTCGCCCTTCCGCACGTGCAGGGCTCACTATCTCGCTCGCTCGTTCTGCGCCCAAAAGGCGTTTTACTGGTACCATTCTTTCCATGCAACGCTCATTGGGCTAATGTTAAAATGGCAAAATCAAGGGGGCACGGTGTCCCGGTGCCCCTCCCCCTGGTTCCGCCGCCTATGGCCGTCTTAGTTTGTTAACAAAATGTTTTACCTTCTAAATCAAGAGTGCAGGTGAAAGTGTTGTTTATAAGCGCTGTATATATTTACGCTTACGGGACACTTTCAGTATGTTTTTCGGAAATGATCCTTATTTGTAGAATGAGAGCGGAAGTGGATGCGATTGTCACTGTTTCGTATTTGTTGCAGATCCTACGACATCCAGGGGTCGTACCGTGCTAAACTCCGCATTTTTAACCTGGCATCAGAGTTCGAGATGACAAACAGGGTACCGGTGTGGGCAGAAATTCAAAATCTAACGACGATGGCCTACTACTTGCCTTTTCTGCCAATAGGTAAGTCCTTTACATCGTTATGCATGATGACCTGTATGCACGCATTCTACGCTTCCATTTAATTCATAAAGATATGCATGCCTCCTCCGGTACCTATATACGGATCAGATTGTCGATTGATGTCCAAATAACAATTGACAACCAGTATTTGATTGCGCAACTCCCACGTAGATACCTTTGTAGTGTGGCTATGACCACGTTTCCATGGGCTCACTGATCCGGATCAGTAAAAATGGATTAGCTAAATACAGTATAGTTAGTCAATATATGAAAATGAAAATAAGGGATTAACTGATTATATAAGCCTAATCCATATCGAATGATATCATGTAACGAAGAGTTCGAGAAATATAATACGATTTAAATTTGCTGATCCGGATCAGTGATGCCCATGGAAACGGGGTCAATGTCATATTTTTTCAGTGTCTTTCTAGTTTCTGAACATTCATACGCGTCTTGTTCTACGTTATATCCAGCTGCTGTTTGCTGAACAAGTCCTAAAGTCACCTATCGATTTTCAGGCGGCGACACGTATCTTACCGGCCATGGCCCCGAATACGACTCTTTTCCGATCGAGCGAAACGTATCATTTTTCCTGAACATGACACAAGGCATGATTTTCCAATACATTTTGGAGATGGACAACGGAACCTTCCTGACAAACTCGTCCACATCGCCTGTGAACTACATCTTCCCCGAGGTAAACGAAACAGCTAAATCTTTTATACATTTTTAACTAACCATTCCTCTGTTTCGATGTGTTTATGATTCTCCTATGTCTCTTGAAAGCAGCTCCTGCATTATTTCCTGCTAGATAGAAGGGTGTTTAACGCTAATACATACATTCAAGTCATATTGTACGTAAAATTTGTCGCCAAAGTCATGATAGATAACTGTTGAATGAATCATGAATGTCTGTGAGAATATAAAAGCAACATAGCACAATCTGTTTTTGGTAGAGTTGCATTTCTTTTTTTGATTTCTTATTGTTGTATAATTTCTGATGATAATTTCGGAATTGTTGTATAATTTCGGACGTGTTTCACAGCCGGGAACATACAGTGTGAGCCTGTACGGCTGGAATCCTCTGCAGGGCCGCTCCATTCCCGTCAATATTACCGTCAAAGGTGAGAGAAAACACGGACCCGCCAACTGGCGAGAGGCACAGTAACTTCCCCAGTGTAGCGGCTTTGTAATATGGACCATAGTTTGAACCCTGTTGCACACTGATGCTGATTTCTGTCGCCCCATTGGTACCGAGCCCACCGTCCGCTGACCGTCGCCACTCCCGCAGTGCTCGAGTCGCCGGTCAACGTCATCATAGACGACTACCTGCTCGTGTCGGAAGCCAAGTCAGCCAAGGAGTTCGAAATCCGCATGGACTCGGTGGGAACGTACACCTGCCTAATGTGGACTCCCGGTGACGGATCTAGTAAGTCGGCCTTTCACTGAAGAGCATCCCTCAGATCGAGATTCTGCAATTGCAAAATGCATCATACAGTTTTATGAGGTGGTCAATGGGAAACCGTGATTTAATTATTAAATTAAATTATTAAATAAAATTAGATTAAATTAACGGAAACAGTTATATTTATTTGATCAATATGGTATTTTCCATTTGCTGTGGGTGACGCGTCATCAATTTATTTCAGAGATTCAAGGCTGGGGCGACCGCGACACGTGTGACAGCGTGAATCCACCGATCCCCTACATTTATCAGGGCGCGGTCATCGAGAACCCTCTGAAAATGACGGTGAGCTGGCTTAGCTGACGAAGGAAGGCTGAACTGCTTGGTCTGACGAGTGACGAGCTTACTAAAATATTGTGACTTGTGTAATCATCCAGTAGTAAAGTGTGTCACGCTGCCAAAGTTAAGACTTTTTTGCTGACATTCATGTGACATGTCGTGGAATGCGATCGGACGCATGCTGCGTGGGCTCTATCGCTTGACTTTCTGTCACCTGCGTCATAAGGCGCTCCCTTCTTTCACTTCTTTACATGACGAATGGCAGATAAATCAATGCATTTGTATATTGCACATAGCATGTGGTTGGGATAGACGTGACACTCACGTTCGTTTAATGCTTATATATGCATAAAATGATACGCTCTAATTCGCGGTGTTCTGCTCTACGTCTTCAGTGGACATATATGAAGAAGGGGCAGTACAAGATGAGTGTTCACGCGTTCAACTTTTTGGCCGAGTCCCGCTACGAGCTCGGTTTCACCGTGTCGTCAATTCCGTGCCGGCCGCCGGACCTGATGATTCGGGATAGCTCGACTGCCTTCTGGATGCCGAAGGTGAGTTCTGAGAGCGGGGCTGGGGTTGAGAGCTAAGTGGTGATGCTAATTACATGTTTGCTGGTAAACTGACATGGCATAATCTGAGTTCTGACGTACTTACATCTGAGCGAGGCATATGTGTTGCCCTTTGATCGACGACATCGATTGTCCTTGGTGACAGATTTCTTTGTGTTTGATTTATGTCAATGCATTTCAGCCATATTTCCGGAAAGACTCTTTCGAGCTGTTCACGGTGTGCAGCATTGACTGCAACGCCTCTCTGGACACAACCAAGACGTGGACGGCGCAGGCGATCGACGAGTCGTAAGTATTGACATGGGAAAATGTTCCATCTATGAACCAACGCAATACGCTCCACAGATACTAATAGGTCTGTAATTTGCCTGCAAAATGAGAATTCTCAATGCCAGTTATAAGATGGCATGGTTAGGGTCCAGGACGACTCTTGCATGCGTCATTTTGGCTAATCATCACTGCAGATATATCATACGAGTGAATTTCTACGATGCTGCTTGTTTTTACTAGCTTCGATTTTGTGTTTCCGTTTTCATTGTGATGGAAGTGTCCACATCATGTGACCTATTTCTGTTTCAGCTGGGGCAATATCACCGGCTCCGTGGATCTGACGTCACTCAGCTCGTATATGAAGTCAACTCTGTTCGTTCCTTCACGATTCATGGAGTACGGCACTTACAAGATGACGTACTCTCTTCAGATATCAGGTTAGCAGCGGACGCCGTCACGTTCTAGTGTCACATAGTTACGTTACGGTGATTTATATACAACGGCATGAACAAACACAGCTCAATGTGTGATTCGATCCATGTCCCGAAGCTATGCAGTACACTCATTGAATTCACAAACCATTGCCCTCTAACCGTAACCGACTGTTGCCCTCAGGCGAAGGAATGGACCCGACCCAGCCGTTCGTCAAGCGGGTGTTCACCTACGTTAGGATCAATCGGTCGCCGCTGCTGGTGACGATGCTGTCAGGCGGCAGCTCGGCCATTCAGCGCGGCTACAACCAGATGGTGGTGCTGGAGCCAGAAAGGTTCTCCAAGGACCCTGACTACCCGGACGACACCGTGAGTCGGAGGGATGTCGCATATGATCATGTCCCTGCAGACTTGGATGGATAGCACAGTGAATCCGATGTCGCATATGTGGCGAGGCTGCACATGCTTCTTTGTCTAAAAAAAAGAGAAATATTATGCCGCCTGTGAAAGAGAGTGGCAGTGAATACAGCTGGGGCATTCCACGATATATCGTACCACTTTTTTCCAATTGGACACCCTCATCTCTCGGAATTTGACGAGATTTCGTCTCAGGGGTAATCAGGGGCTCTGAATCTACCTGTAACAATTTCAGGCTTATCAGATAAGTATTTTATGAGTTATGGTGTATAACATTTTTTTTATCTTCCTTTGCAGCGCTAAGTTTGGCGGGCTGTAACTCTAAGACGGATTATTCAAATGCCAAATGTTATACCATGTTTCATAACATTGACGGATTATTCAAATGCCAAATGTTTCATAACATTGAACTTGCAATGAAACAGAGATTAATATGTATTTTTAAAATTTCGAAAAATACGCTTTTTTATATATGACATATCAAGTTTTCTTTCATTTGTATTTTTTGGACTTTGGGACCAAATTTTTTAAATTTTTTATTTCTTTAAAAAAATATTTGGCTTATTGTTAAGAAGTATTCAAAAAATTAGAAAGGTGTTCCTTCTATAAATGTATTTATATTACGTCACGATAGCGGTTTCGAATAGTGATTTCGGGAGGGGAGCTTACAAATGGCGTGGTAAAGCTGCCTAGTGACACCACGGGTTACTGAAATTTCAATTGAAGTCTGAGTCATCTGAAAAAAATGAAAAGAGGGTTCATCCAACCCTCTTTCCTAAAAGCGCGAGAGTGAAAAAGGCTGTTTGGTTCTGACATTGTTTTGGACGCCAATGACCATAGCTGTCCGAGATGAAAGTTACAGGACGCATACAGGTGTCCTCCAGAGGTCTCACAACTTGTATATCTGGGAATTATTTAAGGTTACATGAGGTCAGGTCGGTCACGTGACATCACTGTTATAAGTCAATGGGGAAATATAAAAACTGTTATTTTGGCGCCGAGAATGATCTAAAACTACCTCACGTACATCATATCGTGATTTCATGCACTCCTTGCAAAGTCCAATGCTTCACTTTTGTATTGTTTACCTTGCGTGACGTCATTTATGACGTCACTAGGGTCGTACTAGTTTTTTGTCAATAACTCCCGATCAAATTGAGCTAGAGAGTCGGGAAAGCCACCAATGGACTCGGGAAGACCTGCCGAATCAAATGATATGCAACATGACCTCTTTCGACCAGCTTCGTGACCTGGGGGCGCTGACCTGACCGTGACCTGAGGTCAACACCCCAAGTTGATCTCACCCGAACAAAAAGTATACCATTCGACGCACCTGAGCTAGGCGAACACAATGATGCCAAAATCGCGGCTCTGCGACCATTTTTTTTGCGAAGTTATTTACTAAAAACCGAACCCGTAACTTCAGTCACTTGACCTGACCTCAGATGCTACCGGTTAACTTGAGACCTTAAAATTGGGTACCAATCGCTGCGACTTGTAACGGCACACACGCTCGTTTTTTTCCGCGAGGCTCTAGCTCTATTAGAAGCGAAACGGCGTGCTGGGGTCGTATCAACCCTCCGAAACCCATTTTGTTTGCGGGAAAATGAGGAACTTATAGAAAGGACACCTTTCTAATTTTTTTGCATGTCGATTTGCAATGACATGAAGTTCATTTTGAAAAAATAAAAATGTGAAAAATTTTGGTCCCAAAAGTCATTAGAGGCAAATGAAAAAAAGATTAAGGTTTTTGTTTAGCAATGAAAATTTTTCTTTTGAATTTTTAAAAGTAATATTAATTTTTGATTCATCGCAAGCTTAGTGTTGTTAACCGTTTGTTGGTTGCTTAACCCGTTCTTGAGCTATAGGCCATCAAACTCACCGTTACAAACCGAAGTTAAAAAAATGTAAAGCGATATAACTCAAAAAGTTTTAATCTGAGAAGTCTGATATTTTGCCAGGCGTCTTTGGGGCATATGATTACCCCTAGGACCGATTTTCATTAAAATCTGAGAGATGAGGGTGACGGGCCAGGTACGATCTATCGTGGAATGCCCCAGCTGTCTAAAATGGCGCCATTAATCGTTCTTGATGGATGGTTGACGTGACCCTGCGTTGTACTGTTGTCACTAGGAAGTGCTTTCACCAAATATTTCCTCATTCTCCGTTGCCGAGTGTTGCTGTTTTTTTTCTTCTGAGAAACGCTCGTTTACATGAATAACGCCACCAGTGTTCCGAATGCCAACATAAATGCGGGTTGATAGGACCAAAACTGGATCCCTGGAGTGACAGCGCCTTACACAGAGTTATGTTCGGATTCGCAGAACCTGGTCTACTCGTGGTTCTGTCGCCGTCTGCCGGATGAGAAGTTACCGCGCACCAAGGCCGGCTGGCTAAAGCACACGGAGCCGCTTCAGAACCCCATCATGAACGCCACCGTCGAATTGTACGACTGGGTGTACGACAACGTCACCAACGCCACTTACGAGGTGGAACGGCCCGACCTGGGCGGCTGCTTCGGACAGGGACCAGGTCAGAAAGCGGAACTTAGCTACCGAGGGATAGGGTCCAGGTCAGAGGGCGGTCCCAGGGCTGACTGGGACCCTAATAAGGGAGCAGGTCAGAGGGTGGTTCGGGCTTCCAAATGATGACCTGCAGAATCATTTCATCCAGCGTAGGGCAATAATCTAATAATCTGTTGCCATAAGCACTCGCGTTGCTGGCCGGTAGGAATGCTGAACATCACCGGCGGCCGGCTGGAGCTGAACACGCTCCAGTTTCGCACCAACAACGCCACGTACGAGATCAGCGTGCAGATGCGGAAGGCGGACCCGACCGACCCGCGCCTGGCCACCGGCACCACGCTGGTGGAGGTGGTGGCCGGATCGCCGCCAATCGTCAGCGTCATGTGAGTCGGCGCACGTGATTTGGAGCACACACACAGTGGCGGGAGTTCGCAGAGAGCGAATTCAGGTGGCAGACCAAGGCCGTATAAGAGGCACCAAGGTAGCAGACAGGAATGAGGTGTTGAATGACGGACATGTTTCGAGTGCCAGATGAAGAAAATGTGTCGGCAGGTGCTAGCTGGTGTTGGGTGATGTTCGATGGCAAACGTGTCATATTTAGTTGGTGTCAAGTGTAGCCAGTATATGTAGCGAAGCACATGACGTTATATGTCGATAGGTCGGCCTTATTTCGGCAAGTGTCAGGTGACGGTCATATTTCGACAGTTGTCAGGTGATAGTCTTATGTCGACTAGGTGACAGATGACGGTCATATGTCGACAGGTGTCAGGTGACAGGTGACGGTCGTATGTGGACAGGTGTCTGGTGTCAGATGACGGTCATGTGTTGACATGTGTCAGGTAGCCGACATGTGTCCGGTGTAGGTGACGGCCTTATTTCGACAGGTGTCAGGTAGCCGACATGTGTCAGATGACGGCCTTATATCGACAGGTGTCAGGTAGCAGACAGGTGTCCGGTGTCAGGTGACGGCCATATGTCAATTCCAGGTGTCAGGTAGCCGATATGTGTCGCGTCACCGAGAGCGGCTCCATCATCAACCCCAGTTCGCGAGTAGCGCTGGTTGGCACGTGTCAGGAGCTCTGCGACGGTCGACTCACCTGGGCCTGGCGCGTCTTCTACGTACGAAACTTCACAGGTGAGTGGGCAGGTCGCTACAATGAGTGCCGGGTGCAATACAGGTTAGATGGTGTCTGCTGAGTGCCGGGTGCAATACAAGTCACACACAGTTTGTTAAGTGCTGGGCGCATTAAAGGGCTACACGGTTTTACGCCGCTGTTTCCTGCGTTGCAGAGTATCGAATTCAAGACGGCGATAAGTACATCATCGGTGCCGGGAAGCCGTCGGTGGCCGTGAAGAAGGACCTCTACTCTGATTACCCGGATATCGTCGAATTCAGGGTTAAAGTCAGCGTCACCCGACTCAATGTGAGTGTTGGATACGAGTGATAGGAAAGGCATTGCTATGTATACCTACTTGCCGCCTGTCTCCGACGTCTTACACAATCATGTATGTAGAATAAAGTTGATGGGATTTCTTGGTTATTGCCACGTATTTTTGCTGTTTCACTTTACATTTATGAAGAAGAAGTGCTGTATCCCCCATAAACCATGATTGTCACAGATATTTTGGTTATAATTATAATCATGCCTACATAAATACCACGCCTACAGAATTGTTCTTGCATAGACGTCGGCTTTATTCCGCCTACTAAATGCATCATAATTAGTTGGATATTCTATGTGTGCGATGCTTTCTAACCGATCGTTGGGCCGTCAGGACGGAGAGACTGGGGTGGCCACCATGTACCTGCTGCTCAACCAGGCGCCCATGGGTGGCACGTGCACCGTCACGCCGCCCGAGGGGCGCGTGGTGAACCTGCGAGCGCACGGCGTGGTGGCCGCAGAGGACTCGGCACAGGCGGCCAACGGCACCAGTGCCGGTCAGTTGTGAGCCTGGGAGGGGGAGGGATAGAGAAATGAGAGTGGGCGAGAAATGAGAGGTGTCAAGTTCAAATTGACTTCAAAGGTACGAATATACTATAGATTAATCGTTGAAAGGGTTGAAAGCAATTTTGCGGCCGATCTTACTGTGGTGGAACTAATTTATATTTCCCTGGAACTCGGTGCTCTTTTCAATCCACTGCTTTACATACTTGTTGCAGATGTTGCATTGGCGAATCTTCCGACGCCTGGTAGAGCTCTGACCGAAGATTGGTATGTTGAATGCATCGACTTCAAAGATCCGGACAAGGACAAAATCGGAAAATACGTATTCTTCAGTAAGTTGGTGAAAATGAGCAACAACTAGCTGCAATGCAACGAGGCATCATTACCTTAATCAACCATCAGCTCCAAAAGAGAAATGTTTGACTTTTGTTGCTGCACTTGGTAGAAGGCAAACGAACTCAAATTATGCGTTTTATGTTACTTAAATTAACGTGCTTTAATTATGCTAACTAATTATGTGAGCTCTAATTTTGTCCGTATGTCATTATGTGGCCAAGAATTCAGGTTAGCGAATGTCAATATTTCAACATTATTTGTAAGCATTTTCTTACTTTTTTTCGTCTGTTTCTTTCTAGTTAAACATCCGATCGAAGGATATATTATCATCATGAAGTTCGGAAAAGACCGGAAGGGCAAGTTCGTCTTTCCATATGGCGATTGGGAGTTATGGATGACCATATCTGATAACTATGACGCTTCCCGTGACATCTTCATCGATCATATAACGGTAAGATCAGATAATGCAATTAACAAAAGTAAGCTTACTTTGATCATCACAATAATTTGTTTGATGCTCTGAATTTTAGTTAGGATTGCGCTGATATTATTTCCTCACACGTTGAAATGTGGTCGAAGTCCTACTTCTCGCCCCTCTCCCCAGACCTCGCTGCCGACTAAGGGCGAGTACGCCACCTGGGAGCTGAAAAAGGACGTGCCTCGGGCCATGGGCGAGGGCGACCAGCCGCGACTGAGCCAGTTGCTGCAGGCCCGCACGTCTCTGGCCGATATCGAGCTGCCTGACGACCCGGTGGGTGCCGGGAGCGGCACCTGACTGGCAGGGGGCCGGGAGGGGCTCCTCACTGCATAGTGCTGACATTTTACAATCGAATGTTGGGTAATGGTAGTAACTGCAACGAGCTATAAAAGCTCTATATTGTAAATCCTGGAGCACTGCTGTCTGTTGATAGTATTTTCTTTGAGACCCTGTAGAACTGTGTCTACAAAAGCCTGACCGATCCCTGGCAATGAACACATACAGTGCGCAATGGTCCGTAAGGGCCGAAGCACCTTCTCAACTAAATGAAATGAAAACGATGATCCCTGGCCGTGGCTGACAGACGGAGGCCACCACCACTCCGGCCTATGACTACTACGACGAGTCGGTCGAGACGGAGACCATGGATCCCGAAGAGCTTCTGGAGATACAGGCCGAACAGGAGCGGAAACGGCTCGAGGCACTCGACAACAAGGCATTGGTAAGATGCGTCGAGAGATGTAGAGCATTGGATAAAAAAACTCGACCGGTCCGGACTATCCTAAACAGCCCCGGCTGTATGTACAATTCAGTATATGTATGTATGTATGTATGTATTGTATTGTATTACCATCATGGACAATCCACACGGGGCGTGGTGATAACAGTCCACTGACTAGGATAGTGGACTACTGAATACTGTCTAGGACCATTTCGGACCATTTGACCATATGACCATTTCGGACCAACTCTATCGTTCCAGACCTGCCATCCCATTCGGTCCAAACCTTGTGCAGGGATTGTAATTTTACCTAATTATTCTATCGGTGACCCCGTTTATAAAGCCGCCATGTAAGAATGACATTTTTGTAGGTGCTGGGATTACTGGTCAAGTAAGAGCGATTATAGTGAGGCGCTAAGAACGATCCCAATGTGAGTAGGGAAGTCGTGGGCTAGAAGAAATGCGTTGCTCAGTATGACGTCTACACAAGCAGAAAAGTGTGCACATAACGATTATGATATATGGATGCCGTTTTCATAAGCAGGGTGAACTGATCATCAAATGTTGATTGTGTGGATTTTTCTGTGTGCAGGAGAACCGTGAGATGCTGAGTCAGCTGGACAACCTGAACCAGAACACGCTGGATGACTGCACCATGGTGCTGGGCACCACCGGAGCCATCGTCGGTGACGGGAAGGCCCTCGACTCGGCTGGTGAGGCTCGAAGTGGCGAGCATTTTGGGATATTTGACGGTGATACACATTATAAATACCACGGGCGGGAAGAGTGCATTGCGTGAATCCTGAAATTGGGCGCTGGTACCTCGGTGCCTCCGATGAGCTTTTTGCGCGGTGCAAGTTTCAACTTTGTAACTGTGTACATACATCTTACTCCCAATATTTGATCGGTTTTATTTTCCTGTTCATTGGAAGACAATGCCTATATTTTTTGCAATCCCATGCTCACTGCTCAGCCTGATATCGTCGTTCGATGTAATTTCCGTTATATCTCGGATGCAATGTTATAAATACGCACTCTACTGTCACCAGTCTGTGTCAGAGACGTTAGCCCGTTCGCTGTCACCCGTGCCACAGGTAAGGACGCGGCCATCGGAGCGATCGGTGGCACGTGCCTGCAGTCGGTGCTGCTGAACGGCACGCTGAACGACCCGCAGCAGGCGGGAGGCATGGTCACCAGCAGCCTGGGCAGTGTCACCGCCGTGGGCAAGGTATGTGTCCTCCGCTAGTTAACACACGGAAACCGTTTAGTGCATGTGAGCCCGCTTGTTGACTCGAAACGCCGAAAATGTAACTTTCATGAAGAAAAAGGTTCTAGTGAAGTAATTGGCAAATATGCCTAGTTATGACTCTGCTAGTTGCTTCCATATACAGCTTTCGAAAAATTATTTGCGTTGCCATGCAAAGCTGCGCAATGGATTATTTTACCTAATTACTCCCTTTAGGAGTTACGCACACAACGACGCATACCAGGGTCGTCGCGAGTCACTGTTCAGACCTCCCCGCCTTCCACCTCAGGGTATCGACAACACGAACCTGAACGGCGAGCTGGTGCCGTCGGACATGGCGGCGGCGCGGCGTCGGCGCAGTCTCGACATTCCCGACTACCCGCTCTGTGAGGAGGACGAGGAGGCGGAACCCACCACGCCCGACCCGGACGACCCTGACGCCCTGCCCTGCAAGACGGCCAAAGAACTGGCGCTGCTGGTAAGGGGATGTGTAACGCCACTCGCCAGTTTGCTAGCGAACCGGTGGTAGCGGGGAAGATAGAAGAGGTGGTGGAGCGGATGGCGCTTCCGTATCGTTTATTGGCGATGAATCTGTTAAAGCTCTGTTGTTGATATTTGTTGTCTGCCTGCACCTTTTTCCTACTTGTTTTTCGCTTGGTTAATGGTTTTGCTTGAAAAACTTTGTAACTATTCGCGCCAATTTAATTTCATAATTCGTTTGTACTTGAGCAGTGAAAGAAGCACGAGCGCAGCGCTGACCCTTCATATTACTCCACCTACAGGACCAGAAACGCAAAGCGGCGAGCCAGGTGCCGACGATGCTGGAGTCGGTGAAGCAGATGCAGGACAAGCTGATGTCGATCGCGCTGCCTGGCGAAGACCCGTTCACGCTGAAGACCCCGGACGGTCTGGAGATGACTCTGGTCATGTGAGTAGCCACTGCGCTCAGAGACGATAACAGAAGCCGCTGCACCGCGGCCTCTGCCGAAGATGTTTCTTCTGTCTTCTATCGGAGTTTCCGTCAAACGCTACTGACGTATCCGACCGGACGTTGCAGGCACTTCGTATTGCTCCTGCCTGTTTTGTAAAGCAAAAGAATATGCCTACCACTGTCGAGTACTGACCATCCCAATTCTCACGTGTGGCATGGTGCGTCCTCAGGATGGAGGGCTGGGCGCTGGCCGGCTACCGTATGCGTCTGGGAGAGGCCGAGTATCAGTTCCCCAGCCTGTGCGCCGTCCTGCACGAGGAGGCCAACTGCAGCGCTGCCTACAACATGACCGTCGGCCTGCAAGCCATCAACTGGCCCACACTACTCTATGTGAGTGGAAGCCGTTCGTCATATCGGAGTTGACCGTTCCCAATCACTTACTTGTTTGAATTATTTGGTCTGCAAATCCCCATCTTTCCCGTTAGTGGAGCAATCGTCTTTTCTAACTATCTACCACAAATAAAGCAAAATGCAGATATACCAGCGCTGTTTACTTGCTCAGTATGATGGTATGGGGAACGAAACGGTGACTTTACTTGGTGAGGAAACCCAGTTGAGGTCGATTGACCTGAGTTGACCCTGTTGACCTCGGTTCCCTACGCCGCCAGTCGTACGGCGATGGAACGGACGCCGTCAGCAAGGACTCGTCGAACCTGCAGCTGAAGCTGGTGCAGCAGCTGCCGGGCACCACGGACCTGGAGCAGGTGCCCGTGTACGATCTGCCCAGCCACCAGCGGGTGCGCATCACCGTGCCGCGAGGGAAGAAGGGCGAGAAACCCGTGCTGCCAGGTGAGTGACGACCGGCACGGACCGGTGCCGTTGCACTAGATTTTTCAGTTCTCACCAATATGCGTGACAGCATTAATTATTTTCACTAGAAATGGAGCCGGTGTGAGCGTGAAGTTTAGAAAAGAGCATTCATGCTGATAGATTTTTATAACGTTCCTTGCACAGTGCACACTAGCAATAAATGCTATGGTGGCTGTCACTAGCTACGCAAGTGGCGCATATCAAAGGATCATCAAACGTCTTGTTCATGAAAGATTATTCATAATAATTGACACCTGAAGCAATATTTTATCCAACAAGTTTGCCATCAGACGATCTCACCATTATGTTCATCCTACATTTGTGTCATGTATCGGCAGACCCGACGTTCGTGGAGCCGCAGCCGAACCCCAAGGAGATCATGGTATATCACTCGTTCAACGTCACCCACCCGTACGTGGCCATCAACGTGGAGGTGTCCGTGTCGCGGCCGGACGCGCAGTTAGTCGTCTTCATGAAGCGCGGCAACAAGCCCAACCTGACGCACTACGACTGGGTCTGGAAGGTGCAGCTGCCCGTCAACTTCACCGTGGATAGTGAGTAGTGAGGATGGGTTCAAACGGCACGGTAATGGACAGCTACTTATCAACTTCACCGTGGATAGTGAGTAGTGAGGATGGGTTCAAACAGCACGGGAATGGGCAGCTGCCCATCAACTTCACCGTGGACAGTGAGTAGTGAGGATGGGTTCAAACGGCACGGGAATGGGCAGCTGCCCATCAACTTCACCGTGGACAGTGAGTAGTGAGGATGGGTTCAAACGGCACGGTAATGGACAGCTGCCCATCAACTTTGTAGGCAATGGTCATTGATCAGTGCTCGACTCCTCCCTGGGCTGGCTCGGGTCTCTCTGACTGAGTAACGCAAGTGTAACATGGTATGCGCTTTAAACTTATAAAACTTACAACAACATTCTCCTTGCAGGTCTTAATTGAATAACACTTTTAATATTGCCTCTGGGAATGGATGAAAAAAGTTCTGTCCTGGAGAGTGAGGAGCCGTGGCGCAGCAGTCCTCATTCCTATGCTTCTATTTTCCTGATTTAGCAAAATGCAAGTTGTAAGTCTGACAAATTATAATTTACTGATCACAGCCGACTGCTTTCATGAATCAACTATATCAATATTTTTCTTTTTCAGTTTCCCAGGAGCCAATGGAAGAGCCGATTCCAATCACGACAGCAGTTCCAATGACCACCATAAGAGGTATGTGCTGACTCGTCCATCAGCCAAAGGGGAGTTGATGCCGCTACTGCTCTTTTTTTTGCACTACCTCCTTGCGACAGACGTAGCGAAGATAGGTCACCGTTGTAGGTATACAGATAAGCCTAGCTTTGTGTAAACACTTAAACAGCACCGACATTCCATGATACATATCAAATACAATGCGGTGTTGCATATTTTCTGTTTACGCGCATCTAACGACCGGGCGGCCAGTATGCGACATTGCGTCGCAGCATAGCTTCAGGCGCAGTCCACTGCTGCCATCTAGCGAGAGCGTTCAAAGCTGTATTCTGTTGTGCGGTGCAGTGCAGCTTTAGGCGTTGACCATTCCTGCCATCTAGCGGGAGGTTTTAGAAGCAGTATGTCATGCGGTGCAATCTAACTTCAGGCGTAGTTACCTCCTGCCATCTAGCGGAAAGTTTCGAATCTACAGTGTGCTGTGCCGTGTGCGGTGCAGCATAGGTGCAGGCGCACAGAGTTGGCCTGCGCTACGTTACGTTACGCACTACGTTACGCTACGTTTGCTTTTTTGGCCAAAACTACGATACCGAATTACGATACGTTATATATTGCTACGTTACTGAATTACGGTATTTGTTAATTAACGCAGCAAATTATTTTATCGTACTACGTTATGCAATATGTCATCATCCACTACCCAGTAGCTCCCCTCCTTTATCCATCAATCGTCTCTCAACCCTCGCCGGCCGGGGGGAGTGCCGCGCCCCCTAAGGTTTTTTTTTCGCGATAGCTCCGAATACGCTGGTGATAGAGCTGAAACTTGACATACCTGACCTTTGATTCAAACCGGATCTTGGGACACCAATATATATTGTATGCATCATCACCTTAATCTATTCTTTGACAATTATATACCCATTCTGCATTCATATATATATATATATATATATATATATATATATATATATATATATATATATATATAATAGTGTAGTCAGTCATACACGCGCACAATTTTGATTGGGCCAGTGAATTCATCATTGCGTCGCGTATCAGGCATATACGATATGAGTAAACCGAAAAAAAATTATGTACCTTATACAAATACAGCTGACCTGTAATTGCTACGGAATCCATTTCGTAGTTCCTACGTTATTCTATTATTTTCCGTACTACGCTACCGAAACATCCCAATTAAGCTACGAAACGGTACTGACAGCTACGGGTTACCGAAAACTTCAAAATAACGTAACGTAGGCCAACTCTGCAGGCGCATACCCCTGCTGCCATCTGGCGGGAAAGATCAAAGGTGTAGTCTGCTATGCGCCATGCGGTAAAGCATAACTTCATGCGTAGAGTGTTACTGCCATCTAGCGGGAGAGTTTGAAACTGCATTATGCGGCACAATAGACGTGTTTACATAGGGTTTGTTGCAAGCTTATATCTCCGTCCGTGATGTTGCAAAAGATGCCAATGGTGCTTAACAATTTACAAAATGATCCCCTCTAAATATTTGAAGACCACTGCATCGAAATTATCGCCAAATTAACGAGCTAGAGCCTCGTCAAAAATGCTATGTAAACCGGGTTCAAGTAACAGCAGGCGCATATCACTGCTGCCATCTAACGGGAGTTTTAAGCTGCACCATCATGCGGTGCAGTATACCTTCAGGCGTTGGCCACTTCTGCCACTTCTAGCGAAGTTACAGCTGTCGCCGAGCTTGAACACAATACAGATTATAAGCATTTAAGTTTATTAAGAAAATCTTTTCAATTAAGATTTTGAGAGACTTCGTATGCCGTTATGCTTCCGTCTCCGTTCAAAAATTATCTGTTCAGATAGGGAATGTACAACGCCCCGGCCCCCCATAAATAATGGCTGTCGAAATGTTGCAATACAATTGCAGAATAAATAGACATTTTCATTCAGTATTTTATATCCGGCACTTGTAGGTATGTGTTTGGTTAGATAAATTAGCAAAATATTGTCTTTCTATATATGTATAACGTGTGCTTCCAGGCAAATCTACCCGAAAAAAAAACAGGATTATTAAAAGCACCTATTTATAACCCAACTTTGCGCTTATACTCCACGCTTACTAACTGATGTGGATCTTTGGTTGTTCACAGTGCCCACCTGTGAGGAACTGGAGGGTGTGAACGCCACACGGGGTACCAACCAGACCTGCATTCCCGGAGCGGTCACCGAGCGTACGTACACCAACCAGCCCTGGCACATCGAATATTTAGAACGTTAAACGATGGATTAATGATTTGCTGCAGTTAGATGCGCTGAACTGTGAGCTCGCATCCCTGCTTCTCCAGTGTCGATGTTGGTGTCTCTCCGCCGTCAGTGATGTGCGAAATGTGCCGCCTCTTCAGTCTCCAGTGTCCGTTTTGTTTGAACTGTGTCGGTATCTATCTATGGTCAGCTGTGTGAGCTTTGACGTCGCCTCTCGATCGTCAGTGATGTATAAACTGTGTCGGTATCCCTCCAGCCTCTGTGATGTGTGAGGAGGACCTCATCACGGTCGGCTCCACCACACCGGCGCCGACGACCACAGCCGAGCCCATGCTGGCCCGTATGCGGGGAAACGGACAAGGGCAGGGGAATGGAGGCGGCAGTCAGGACGTCACGTCCACCACGGAGGACCCGACCACGCAGCAGACGGACGCGCAGTGCACGCCCGTGCTGGTGACGCCCACACCCACTGACGGATCGCTGCCCGACGCAGAGCCGGTGGAGCCCACCAACTACATCTCGGAATACGTCCGGCTGCGGGTCGGTGAGTCAACCTGCGGACCCGGTAGTGGCCGGCACGGCCAGCAATTGGTACCAAGGTGTTGGGAGCAAGGTGGATAGTCGCAATACCCATCTCAAAAGAGGATGTAAACATGTTACGTGCACCCTAAGCGTTCATTTAAGGTCCTCCTAGCGCTCTTATAGTCTCTCATTAGGGTGCAAATACAACCTGAATAGCAAATGAATAGCGCACGATTTAGCACTAAACTGCTAATCTTTTTTAACAGTGTTGCATCTGCTGAACTCCAAGTGGCAGAGTTGACTGCGCTGAACCGGGTTATGAAGTCAAGTGACTGAAACATTTACAACTCGCTAATATATTCATTTTCGGAACCAAGCCGACCCGTGTGACCCCTTTGTTAACGATCCGTCTTGCGCTCGTCCTCAGTGCCGAACCGCGCGCTGGAGCCGTACGACCCGTACGGTAACGACTCGCTGCTTTACTCGTTCCCGCTGTACGACATATTCGTACCGGACTGGTACGTGGACAACATGACTGGTGAATACTGGATCGGCGTGGCAGAGTTCTCCAACACCACAGACGACGAGGTGAGTTCAGCGGCACAACATGGGAGTGAGGAATGGAACATCGGACCAAGGCACGGCAGCCTGAAGTCGCGGAGCCCTACGCAAAAAACACATTAAATCGGGAAGTACGGAGTGGTGAGGAGGGATCTCTGCATGACACACGAGCTCTGAGGAACTGCGATGACATGAAAACACTATAACGGTGGATGACATTACTTGCTGTGATCTGATTGCATTTAGTTATCTCTCTTACGAAAACGTAAAGATAAAAAGACGCTGAGATAAGCAGCAGACTGGGCGTATCCTAACCCGCTAATATCATCAGCATTTATCGTATGCCTAATCAATGTCGCACGACTGTCCTCAGATGTTCTTCGACGACCCGACCTCGGTGAACCTGACCATGTCCAACATGACGCACATCTACTCGACCAACTACACGGTACGGGTGTACACCTCGGGCTGCCTGTTCTACAACACGCTCAGCGACACATGGGATAGCGACGGATGCACGGTGAGATAGTGTGCCAAACGCGGGCAGATACAATTACACACATTACGCTGGAGGTTCCGATGCTCGTTGTTAATTGCTAAGCGCCTCTAAGAAAATCAAGGTATCGACTATGTATTTTTATGACCCGTAGCTAAAAATGATTCAATGAATGAATAAATGAATGAATGAATGAATTAATGAATGAATAATTGGAGGACGAAAAGGGCTAACAAACTGACGTTGCGCGTCGTTTGTGGTGCCTCGCCTATGTCTGTGGTTGCAATCTTAGCCTTCGTGTCGCCAGGTAACCGACGCCAACCACAAGGCGACTATGTGCTCCTGCAACCATCTGACTTCGTTCGGATCAGGCTTCTTCGTCATGCCTAACGCCATTGACTTCGACTACGTGTTCGCCAACGCCAGTAAGTTTTTGTTGTATTCTCGTGAGTCTAGTGCGCTATGAGCTGCGTCTTTCAGCAGGACAGATGACGATCATGCTGTCGATGTTTGCTAAGACGCTTATCGTGACGCTTTTCTCTCTTACAGGTTTCGCCGACAATCTTTCAATTTATCTCACTCTGATTATATCGTTCGCCATCTACCTGATTCTGATGTTCTGGGCGAGATGGAAAGATAAGAAGGATGTTCAGCAGGTCGGCGCCACACCACTGCCTGATAATAACCCTAACCACAAGGTGAGCACGGCATACCGACAAAGCGGCCGCCAATAACCAATTTGCTAACATGAGTCATTGGCATCTCAAGATCAATGCAGCACATAATAGAATTGTCCGTTACCTAACGTGACGAACGTTGAAAGTCGTGCCTCTCGTGGGGCAGTGGACGTGGTTAGATTCGTTGAACTAACTGGTCACTTTCACGCCGATTTTATCTGGCTAAAAGCGTTGCTGGAACTTCATATTTATCGCTGGACGGCAAAGTACGACTGATATCATAGTGAAGCAGTGTCTTGTTCGTACGGAAAGAGCAGTTACGGGAAAACTGACCTTGATAATAACTATCTGGTCTGGGTCTGATGCTCTTTTACTTTGGCAGTACCTGTACGAGATACTCATCATTACCGGCAACAAGACCAACTCGGAGTGTGACAGCAAGGTGCAGTTCATTCTGTCCGGCGAGCGGGACGAGACGGACGTGCGCACGCTGGCCGACCCGCAGCGACCGATCCTGCGCCGCTCGGCCACCGACAGTTTCGTGATGGCTACGGCGCGTCCGCTGGGCCAGCTCAGCTACCTGCGCATCTGGCACGACAACTCGGGCAAGGGCGGGGCCGCCTCCTGGTACCTCAACTTCATGGTGGTGCGCGACGTGCAGACCGGAGAGAAGTGGCAGTTCATCGCCAACAAGTGGTTCGCCGTGGAGGAGGGAGACGGTCAGGTGAGCAGGGGAGGGTGTGGTAAGTTAACTGTGGGACTAAGGAGTGGATGTATGGTGGAGGAGGGCGACAAATTACAAATTTGCGCGGAGGCTTTGTGGGCTTACAATTGGCGCCACCGCTTACTGACTAGGTGGAAATAATTTCAGCGGAATAATCATGACATGGATTTAACGTCAGACAAGCCGCAGCTATGGGCGCATCCTGTCACTGGGACTGTGGTTCCGTTCCAGATCGACCGCCTGCTGCCGGTGGCCGGCCGGGAGCAGATGCTGCAGTTCCAGCACCTCTTCAACACGACCTCTCGCAGGAACCTCTCTGACGGCCACCTGTGGTTCTCGGTCTTCATGCGGCCGCCGCGCAGCCGGTTCACGCGCGTGCAGCGCGTCTCGGCCTGCATGGCGCTGCTGTACCTGTCGATGCTGGTGAACGCCATGTGGTACGGCCTGGTGCCGCAGCAGCCGGGCACCGGCTCCATCTCGTTCGGACCGTTCTCGCTCAGTCCGGAGCAGATTGGAGTCGGCGTCATGTCCAACCTGATCGTGTTCCCGCCGTCCTTCCTAATTATTCTGCTCTTCAGAAAGTCACGCCCGCGCCACCTCAAAGAGAACCGAATCGAGAAGGCCATCGAAAGTCAGCGTGAGTATTCATAAACTATAACGTTCGATCTCGATGTTGCAGCTAGTTTTGTAGAGCTGTACTATAGCCGTATCTCGATGTTGAGCCTGCACGAACCATTGATTTACCTATGACATTTCTTCCGTTTTGAGCTTGTTGAGAGCCTCCTTGATTTCCGTTCTTCTACCACCTTTGCATTCTGTTTCTATACTACTCAGGATGCATGCTGTTTTCCGGTGCTTTCAACTAAGCACCGCTGTCCCTAGCCGTATTGCACTTCGCTGCAGCGACACAGTTGTCCCACTGTATTCCGCCCTAGCGACTTAGTCGCCCCTTTGCGCCTCATAGCACCCTTCCCTACCAGTTACTCAACCGCCCTTCCTATACCGCAGGAAAAGAGCAGCGCGAGTCGGGCAAGTTCCCGGACGCGCCGGAGTCGACTGGAACGCCCCGCAGCGCGGCTCGCAGCACAGACAGCGACACGCGCAGTGTGGGCAGCGAGTCTCTGGCCGACACCGCCGCCAAGAAAAAGAAGCCCTTCACCCTGCCATGGTCAGCAGTAGTCAACAGTCTCCTCTTGAGCGCGAAATGGCGACGACAGGAGTCTCTTAAATCTGCTTGATAAAATCGACGATTGTAGGTTTACAGTTGATTTGAGGTGCATTATAGCGGTTTGAGATTTTCAAAAAAAAGATCTCCAAAGATAACTGCTGAAAAAGGTTTACCACAGACCACAGTCCATAGAGCCAAGCCAACTTAACTCCCTGGGTTCCCAAACATCAATATAAGCAAACGACGATTAGACGATTCTGAACGACGATGCTGAACTGTCGCTCTCCTCGTCAGGTGGTGCGTGTTCTTCGCCTGGTTCCTGACGTTCGCCAGCATGGGCGCCTCCATCTTCTTCCTGTGGGCGTACGGCATCACCTTTGGCAACGAGAAGACCACCAAGTGGCTGACCTCACTGATCATCTCTTTCTTCTCGTCGGTTCTACTCACGCAGCCAATCAAGGTATGCATCTGAGTACTTGACTCCCAATTCATAAGGTTTGTTTTAAATTGATCTCAGCGTTAAGTACTACGGACAAATATATAATGAGCAATGCGAGAATGGGCCAACTGCTAAATATATGGCACTGCCGACGGGACATATTGACCGTCCGTCTCTCGGAAGGACTTCACCGATTCCTATCCACCCCCAGGTGCTGCTCACGGCTGTTCTGGTCTCGGCCGTCTGTAAGAAACTGGATGACGGCCACGACGACCTGGACGACGACGAACAGGAGCCAGCGCTGAGCAACGACGAGGAATGGCTGCACGCCGCACGTGAGTTGTGTTAACCACAAGTCAGAGGGCTGCAAACAGGCAGATGGTCAAATACTTACGTTGGTCTTTATCAGTCATATTGCGCGTTAGCACAAACCACATGGCACATATAAATATCTCAATGGTCCATCGAAAATTTAACAATGTTATATATTATTATGATCAGGATCTCTCATCCTTCCATGACCCGCAGCAACTGGCAAAAAGAAGAAGGAACGAAAGATTGAATACAAGCCGGTGGATCCAGCCAAAATCGAGGCGGCCAAGCGCGAGCGTCAGAAGGAGGTGAAGATGTGGGACATCCTGCAAGAGATGGCCGCCTACGCCTTCTTCCTGTGGATTCTGCTCACCATCAGCTACGGCTCGCGCGACCCCAACTGCTACCTGATCCGCGAGTCGCTGGAGAACCACTTCCTGCAGCCGGCGGATCCGTGGCTCTCCTACCGGATGGTACGTGTGCTCTTACCCGTAGATATGTGAACTTTAGCAAGGTAAATATGAGTGCTCCTATCGGGAGGGAACAGAAAGCCTGACGAGGAGCATATGCGAGGCATGTGTACTCCTTTCGAGTTCACACGAGGTATGTAAACTCCTATCGGGAGGATGAACGATATTACCGGGACGGGAGGTATGTGCGCATCTACCGGAATTTGCGTGCGCTCCTGTGGAAAGGGAAAAGCGACCGTATCGGTTAAACCGGTTGCCTATGTAGTTAAAAAACAAAACATTTTTCCCTTTCAGGTCCGTAATGAGACACGTTTCTGGAACTGGACGCGTTCAGTGATGGTTCCAGAGCTGAAAATCGATGTCGACTATGCTGGAGGAAAGCCGAAGGGCAAAGAGAAGAAACTCATCAGCGATAGGGTGCATCTTCTGCTCGGTAATGGCGTGATGCGCCAGGTCCGCATCAGAGAGAAGAGTAAGTACTGTCGGACGTTCTATCAGGCTCATTCCACGGACAGATAATCCGAGAGTGTGCCATTAATGCTACGGTAATGCCCGAGTGTTAGAAACGGGCATGTAAAACGGGATTTTTCCATGATGGCAGAAGCTTGAGTCAGCAAACTCTGTCTCACGACTACTCCCATGATTTCAGATACATGCCGTGTGCCCAAAGTGATGCGAAACGTTACCCGCGACTGCCACAAGTTCAGCAACTTATTATATGAGGAGAGCGGAGACTTCGGCCTCGGCTGGAACGCCTCTCTGGCCAAAAAGCGGCCGTTCAACCTGAAGGAGTACCGTCACAGGAGCGCCTCCAGCCTGGACTCGTACCCGTTCTGGGGCGACCTCGGCTGGTACGGCGGAGGAGGGTAAGTACTCTGAAGCAGACTGGACAGGGGTACGAAGAGGGACTATGAAATATGGATAGATTCTCCTTAGCCGTGCGACTCCGTGTTACAGAGGAAGCAGCAGAGGGAATGTGTTTTACGGCGTAATGAAATTCAAAAGCAGCACATCTCACTGTGTGTGCAAATGTGTGTTTTCAGATACGTGGTGGACCTGAAGGGCAGCCGAGCTCGTCTCATCAGCGAGATGTGGCGTCTCCAGGAGCAGCGCTGGATCGACGAGAAGACGCGCGCCGTGTTCATCGAGTTCTCGCTATTCAACCCGCAGGTCAACCTGTTCGTGGACTGCACCATCGTGGCCGAGTTCAGCCCGGACGGTACGTGCGCAGAACGCGGGCCCAACCAGGGCGAGGGATATTTCATACTCACTAGCAAGCCAGTGGTTTACGGTTCCGCAACAGGAAGACATGACCTGCGATGTGACCCCATCCTGGAGTAATCGAGCCATTTGTCAGTTCCCTGATAGATTATGAAATTGATATACTTACTAATTTCAATGACGAGGACAGTATTTCTTTGACATTTATGACTTGCCGATTTCAGGTGGAATAACTCCCTTCTTCAAGTTCAAGCCACTGAGACTGCTGAATTACAACTCCGGCTTCGGTCTCTTTGTCCTAATCTGCGACGTAAGTCAATTCTGAAGGCTCCAAGTTGCACTCTTGTATGACTCACGCTTCCCAAGTAGCGACTTGTAATTATGCACTCTTATCGCATTAATCACCATAAATTGTTTTAGTATCTTTACGTCGCTTTTTAAATCTTATCTCATATTCACGGTAATTTCCATTACCTATGCATCTTGGGTCACGGATGTGTGATAACCGCCACCTGTCGTTCTAGGTGTCGTTTGTTATCTTCATCATATACTACACGGTGCGTGAAGTGAAGAGGGCTAAAAAGCAGAAGGGCGAGTATCTGAACGACCCGTGGAACTACCTAGAGCTGACGGTTACAGTTCTGGGCTACACGGCTATCGTATTCTACCTGTACAGGTAAATGGTTTCCAGCATTTTTACTATATATGTAGGTAAGGGCAGAAAAGATAACCTCAACTATAAGGCATTCCCCATGGAAGAAAATGAGAGCGCTTAATCACCCTGACATAAATTGCACGTATTCGTTCTTCACAAATAATCATTTTTAAGAAAGTATCAATATTTATAAAAGTCGCTGTTTGACTGAAATAATCATTTTTAAGAAAGTATCAATGTTTATAAAAGTCACTGTTCGACTGAACTAAACATATTTGTTAACAAATTGTTTCGCATGTGTATGTACAGTGGATCTTATTAGGATCTCCAGACGTAACTAGATGGCGTTGAGCCTTAGTCGAGTCCATGTCAAATTCAAGGAGAGGTCACTACCGAGCTGGGCCCGATGGGGAGGTGGGCGGGGAGGGGGGGGGGGGGGTGGCGAGGTCACGGTGCGGGTGACCTGTCAAACAGCCCCGGCGCGGTGGGGCACTGCCGTAGGCAAATGGCGCGCTCCAGTGTTGTTCCATATCGCGGTGGTGGGCCGGGCGGCCGGTTAGCTTGGCAGCTTGGAAGGAAAGGATAATGAGGCATGGTTTTGCTGTGGCCGGTTCACCTACTGTTACTTATGATGCACCCAGAGTAATGCAAATGTGGCGTTGATAATGCAGCTGGCAATGGAATGCTAGCGAATGCTCCGAGCGCCTAGCTATAAGGAATAAGGATTAATATTATCTATGTCTCCTGAAATTTTCATTGAATATAATTAAAGCACTAGAAAGATCGTATTCGTTCGCCAGTTTTTTGACCGGCTGGCGTTTCTTGCGTAGAGCGCCCTTGGGCAAATATTTAGGTATAACGCAGGTGATTTTTTTTTTTTTTGCTGGTAAGACGCCTTTAGGGTCAAATCAAGCAGTGGCGGCGGAACACCTTTAATGAAGTGGGGGCACTGCCGACTTTTGGTCCCATTCTTTCCAAGCAACGCCCATAGGGCTAATGTTAAAATGCCAAAAATCAAACGGGGGCACGGTGCCCCGATGCCCCCCCCCCCCCCCCCACCGTTCCGCCACCACATGAAATCAAGTCGCTAAGAGACGATGAGGAAAAGTGGACGAACGCCACATTTCTGTGCATGAAGTCTCGAGTTATAAAAAGCTAAAAGTTATTATACGTGTAAGCTAAAAAAACAATAAGATCAGTTAATAAAAATATTTGACCCGAAATAAACTTCTGTATTGTCTGACCATGATTGCATGTATGACCCCGGTCCAGCCTGGTTCAACTCGGCCCAACCTGGTTCGGCTCCCCCCTTTTTAATATAAATTTGGCCCGAACCTTTTGAATGGAAGGAATCACAAGGACAGAGTCCCCGCTAAGCTGAGCTTGTTAAGCGTTGACCCTGCCATCTACCCTCCGATCAAGCAATTCCTGGTCTATTGCAGACTATGGTTTTGAGGTTTAGTCTATGGCAAAATGGTCTATGGTTTAGAGTTCAAATTTTAACGTGCGCACAAAGCCGCGCGCGGCCGGTCCCCTCACTGACGTCGCCTGGCAGCGGCATGTCACCAACCACAACCATACCCGTCAGGAGGCTAAAAAAAAACGTCAAGCACACGTCGTGTTTCGAACCCGGACTTTTGCAACCGGGACGTGCGCCTTCACCACATGGCACATGGAGTCCAACGCTCTACCGACCGAGCTACCGGGACGGACATTTACCTCGGGGTTTCGCCTCGTGACATTGACAGACGTCAGACACTTTGGCCGAACTTTAGCCGAAATACTGAGCAAGCTGCGCAGGGCGATAGGTGCTCGTAGCGTTGAGGTTGGGTAACCTGTGAGCTGAACGCGATGTCGTGAGTTCGAGCCCCACTCCCGGGTCTGGTTTTATCTAGACACAACCAAACCCTTTCCTTCTACTGCAACACAGCTAAGCACGATGACATCTTTCCCCAATATCCTCCCCAAAAGTCAAAATTATCGCTTATAAACGTTTAGCTAAGTTTCATTTTTCAGGAAAATATTTTTGGTCATTTGTCTGGAGCCATTTCAACTCTTTTTTCTTTTCTGATTCTTTCGACCCGATAAAACCCACCAAAACTGAACGTGCCAAATGAAAAATATCGAACTCAAATAACAGTTTAGAAAAGCCTCATCATGCATCATGAAAAGCATCATGCAACTATCGACTGAAAAGTTGCATGCTATGAATACGTCCTAGATTTCAATTATCATTGTTCAACATTTTGGCTGGAACTGACGCTGCCTCTGGCTTGCCCGTTTGTTTGAGATAATGATTCCCTTCAGTCGCGTTCTTGCCGGTTCCACATGAACAGGATACCACCATACCGGAGTGAACGCACCCGCAACCATCATCCCCTCCCCTCAGCCTCGGCGCAGTGGCGGGCGGCCCTGGGCGGTCCACTCCCGGCGCTACGCACGCCCCATGCGCCGTGATACCGCGTCACTCCCCCTCCCTCCTTCCCCCACAATGACCGGTGACCTCACTTCCCTCGGGATTTGGACTCGCCCTACCCCGACCGTAGCGCCACGTGGTGGCTCTGGAGATCTTAAATAGACCCACTGTACATCTTACCAGCATAATTTGATTTTCAGGATGTTCCTTGCGAACGGAATCGTGGACACCTACGATAAAACGAAAGGAAGAGGCTACATCAAGCTGCAGCAAGTGTCGTATCTTGACGAGGTGAGAATTAGTGAGAGTTGCTGTTTGAAATTGAGGAACGTGTAAGGTCGATGAACCGTGGACATGGTAATTGGTACTCAACGATACTTATAATTATAACCATACAGGCTTGCCTTATATTTTTTGGTACTGGGAAAACAGCGATGCAGATGAATTAATGCCTAGTGATTCATGTCAGTACGAGCTCCGCGTTAAATGTATATTTCAATGTGAGTGATTGAATGTTTAAAACAACTTAACAAGACGCAAACAAACTGAACAAACTTAACGCAAACTGAACTAGTGCCTTTCACTTTTCAGCATCATCGCTCTCATAGGCCTCATACCGTATATCAGGTCATATAGGTCTGTTATAGCTCCGCTCACTAGTTCTCTACTTCAGGCTTTCATTCCGTCATCCTTGTCGCTCTTGCCGCACAATCGAATTCTATCCTTTGTCGACCTTTCCTCAAATTTCTATCAACTTCCCGTCTTTTCATCGTTTGGAGATTATGTTTGCAACTCTTCAAAGGTGATAAGGCACGCATTCGTGATTCACCTCTTGACAAAATGTTGGACAATGTCGATGGGTAGCGGGAAAATTATTGTAGAGTTCTTTTCAGCAGCGATGGCGTTTAGCGTCTGCAGGTAGCGCAGCTGAAGCGCACTGGGGCTATTGGACATCACCTCGGCAGCCTCCTTCAGGGCTCGGGACGCGGTCAGCTCGCCCTCTGCGGCGATCACCTTAGCGCGCGCCTCGCGGGCCGCCTCGGCCTCGGCAGCCATGGCGCGCTGCAGCTGCACGGGCAGCCGCACGTCCTTGATCTCGACCCGGTCCACCTTGACGCCCCACGGATCGGTGGCCGTGTCCAAGCTCTCCTGCATGTGAGCGGCGATCGCCTCCCGGTCGCTGAGGATGTTGGCCAGCGCGCGCGTGCCCAGCGTGTTCCGCAGCGTGGAGGCCGCCAGGAAACGGGTCGACAGCGAGAAGTCGGTGACGTTGGCCACAGCCATCACTGGCTTGGAGACGCGGTAGAAGACGACGGCGTCCACGGAAACGGTGACCGAGTCCCGGGTGAGCAGCTCCTGCGGCGGCACGTCGAACGAGACGACGCGCAGGTCCACCAGTCGGTATCTTTCGACCCAGGGGATGAGGAAGAACCAGCCGGGCCCGAGGGCGCCGCCGGAGCGCAACCGGCCCAGCCGGAACACCACGGCCCGCTCGTACTCCTGCACCACGTGGATGCAGAACCACACGGAGACGGGCAGCGTGGCCACGATCAGCACCCAGGCCACCAGAACGACCACCATCGTGAACGGGTCGTCCGAGTCGCTGCCGACGACGTTTGGGGGAGGATCAGAGGCCGCCGGCCGCACTTGTCCAGAACTCTTGCCCATGTCGACAACTGTATCATCACGATCACCGGCGAGGTCTTTTGCTGAAGACTGCTTCGTACTCACAGATGCCATCGGATGTCAATGACAAACGCCAATATCACTTTGCTATGCTTGAGCTCCCGGCTCTCGAGCTCTTTAGAACTTAATTTATAAACGTCTCTCTTTGAACTGTTTGGTTGAAATTTGCGATGAAAAAATTGTAATTATTTCGCTGTCCTCATTTACATTTTTACTCCCCAAAAAGAGGTACAAATGAAGTGATTAGGAACACATGTTTACGGATTTCTTCTACGTGGACACAGAACGGAAAGTTTTAACCTACTGTTACCCGGATAAGCCGGGACCGAAGTCTCGGACTTGGCCTCGATCAAAGTTATCTAGAAAACGAGAAAACCGTTGAGGACATTTTATCACTTTGGGATGACCTATTTTGATCCCTTTCTTCTGCTCGTGCTATCATTGCGTTGGAACCAGCATTTTCACGAACATTCGTCCAAATTTAATTAGCAAAAAAAAAAACGCTAAGTGATCATAAAACCTCTTTCACGGATTCCATGAAACATAAAGCACGAAATGGCGCGAAGGACGGCATCTTTTCACACAACACTGACACCTCTGCCCGTTTGTGTTATAGACTTTCGGCTACATCATCGGCTTCTTAGTGTTCTTCGGCACACTGAAGTTCATCAAGCTGCTCCGCTTCAACAAGCGAATGGGATTCCTGACATCGACACTGAAACAATGCGCTGGCGATCTCTGGGGATTCATCATTATCTTCTTTGTGGTAAGCTAAAAGAAAAAAATAGCCGCTGACGTTTGCAATTCATGTCCCACACATTCTTCACGAAGACGTTAAAACTACTATCCTAAAAACCCATAAAGTAGGCCCAAGTACGTATACTTAGTGCTGTATGCACCTACCTGCAACCGTTTCATTTCATTGTCAACTTTTCTTTGCAGCTGTTTGCATCGTTCAGCTTTACATTCTTCCTCCTGTTCGGCTTCGCCACAGAAGATTTTGCGAACGTCATCATAAGCATTGAGTCATCCTTCGCTATGATGCTAGGTGAGTGTGCGTGCACTTTAACTTCTCAGCACTACTTATCGTTAATCGGCGACGACATAGGTACTTATATCCCATCTAGTTAGAATGCAACATTGTTGCATGATATGACTTATGGGGACAGATCAATGCACGCTATACCATAACTGATATTGCGAAGATAGTTCTGACTGATTGGACAATATTTCAGGGAAGTTCAAGTTCGCGGAGATACAGCAGGCGAATGCGGTGTTCGGACCCGTAATGTTCTTCACGTTCACCATTTCTATGACATGCATCTTCATCAACATCTTCCTCACCATCATTATCAAGAGCTTCCAGGCCGTGAGTTATTATGCAACATGAATTATCTGCGTAGTTGCGTGTGTAGAGTGTCGGTAGCCATCTATTATGGAGTTTTCACTTGCATAATGCCTCAAGCGATCAACCACAATTCTATCGGGATTATGTCGCGTGCGTTGAAAGATTGGCCTCCTAATTACTACAGAGGATGAGAGGAGCATGGTCTTTGCTGATACCTATTTGCTAGAAAATCCACAATATGATATTAGCTGGAAAAGGTCGCAAAATCCCAATTAGTTACCGGCTTTGGAATGTAAGAAGGCTACTCCGCACAGTACCTATTCCTTTGCGAACCGCGAACGCGGTAAAATGCTTCAGTAGCAAACAGCGGCAACGATACTTGAATAACTAACTTGGATCTTCTAGCCGCCAACGTTATTCTCATCACAAACTCGACTACCTACTGATCCCTTCAAACACCACAGACCAGACGGCGACATGGTTATGGACTGTTCACAGGTGAAGAACGACCTGATGAAGCAGGGCAACGAGTACGAGGTCATCGACTTCTTAGTCAACCGTATGAAGCTGATGACCGGCATCGGCAAGCCGAAAATCAACGCCATCGGACCGCTGTCGGCAACGGACGGCGATGGAGACGCGGTGAGTACGGCGATCATGAGGAGCTAAAGTGTCTGAGGTCGAGCCTGATCAGTGACTCAGTCGATCGTCATGTCCTCTCCGGATCGCTCCGTCAGCGTTTAAGGATCCTAGCTGTCAGGTGATCCTGCCTAATTCATCTACCATTTTGCAGGGCAAGGATCCATCGGCCCAGTTTCCTGAGAAGGTGGACCAGCTACTCAACCACGTCAACGACTTCTACTTCGACGGCAAGATGAACTTCAACAACAAGACCTGGCTGAAGAAGACGCTCTCGGTAAGCAGTCTCCACTGAGCGCAGAGGAGCCTCGGTCCAGTGTATTGGTCAATATAATGAAAACTTGCGAACCGTAATGGAAATACTTACCTGTCTTGCATATGATCATAGCAGACCAAAACGCTCGTTTGAAATAAAATCACACATGACATTGATCGATGTACAGAGAACGTTTTGATTTCGAGACGCCCTCTGGCCTCTTTGTAGTTGCAGGCAGGTGGGCAGGTGGATGCAGGTAGTCATTGCGCGCATTGTCGGGACTCTGTAAAACTGTTAGGATCACAGCATAACGGGCTTTAATGACGTCTACTGACCTCAGTTTATGCCTGACCTATATTTGGAGATTATGGTTCTCCCCTCTTTGGACCCATTTCTATTTCTTAACCCGCGCCCTGCTGGGGGTCCTGGATTTCCACGCCCTGCTGGGGGGGGGGGGGGGTGTTCAAACACCCCCCCTTCTAACTCGGCTCCTGGGCCACGTAGCGATACGCGAAAGGCGGCGTTCGAAAGAGCGTAAAAAATAATGACGAAATCACTTCGGTCAATTTTTTGGTCAGGTCAAAGGTCAGGTCACCAGAGGTCATTGAAGGCAAAATTTCGCCGATTTCCAGGTCGAATGTCGACAATTTCCAAGAAGCCAACGCATAACTCGGGAACCAATAGAGCTACAGCGCTGCGGAAAAGTGCATTCGATAGCCCTATTAACGCTCTTTCTGAGTAATTCTCTCAGATTTGACCTAGCGTCAACGGTTTTGCCTGCAGGGGGTAAAAACTGCAAAAATAACCGATTTTTTCGGAAACAGTTTTTCTGCAATAACTTTTGACCCAAACCTTGTGCGAGCTTACTTTTACCGGCATCGTGTTCCTCTCGTCAAGACGCATCGAATGAACTATAACTTGACCTTGAAAGGTCAACTTCAAAATTTGACCTCAGGTCAAGGTCATGACCTGACCGGAAAGGGTCATGTTGCATATCAGTCGATTCGTATCGTCGAGCTGAACACATCTAAGGCGTTTTCATCGTTCTAGCATGCCTCTATCAAAAGTTATTTGCGAAAAACTGTTAGATACCATTCGTGACCTAAGATGACCTCAGGGGCATAACCAGGGGTCACGGACACCATTTTCATGTTCAGTGTGTCTAAACCACTTGTAATTCAGTGTTTGGGAGTGTTTATAATGCTTTTCGTCCAAAAGAGGCGCATTTCAATTTTCTCCCATTGACTTATAATGGGGAGGTCGCAAAATTGACCTGACCTTAGGTCATCGATATAAAAATTCTGAGATATACATTTTGTACATGCTATTGCTCTTAGTAATCGCTGAAAGTTTCAAAGCGATCGGTCACTCGGTGTAGCTATGGCAGACATTGAAACTTTTTATGAGGTGAGGTCACTTCAAGTGACCTGGTGACCTGACCTTGAATGACCTTGGTCTGAAATTTTCACAACATGTGTAGAATTGATGTATGATAAGGTGTACTAAAAACGGCGGCGCTCCGCGCCGCCGTTTTTGAGATATCCGCGAAAAACCACAGGGGGGGGGGGTGTTCAAACACCCCCCCCCAGCAGGGCGCGGGTTAATCCTTTTCACAATGCTTATGACATTCTCTTTTCCAGGGATCCAGTGACGATCATAAGTCGCACCGCCCGCAGGAGCGATCTGATGAGTAGGAGCAGGTGGCCAGAATATGAGATCCTCACGCTGACGCCTACCGATCATGCAGACTCAGGACATGCTCAGGATATGACGAACCGTGTGTTTATGTACGCGTGTGCATGCGGATATGCAAGCCCGTGTACTTTTTGTGCCATAACCCTCGCCCGTATTGGTGTTTTTCCAGCCGCGAACGTATAAGGGGGGGGGGGGGGGGGTCCGTTGGACCCCCCCCTTGCCGTTTCGCCCCTGATCGAGCTAGAGCTTCGCGGAAAAAACGAGCGTGTTGCCCGTGACGAGAGGAAGCCGATGATACCCAATTTTAAGGTCCTAGGTCATTGGTTGACCTTGCAGGTCAGGTCAATGACCCCAAAGGCGGGAAAATCGGGACCTGTTAGAACGTCGTAAAGTGTGGCTGCTATGGGGTTTTTCGGGGTGCTGATCACGAATATCATGTTAGTTTTGACCACAGATGATGTCTTCATGTATTTAGGCCAGGTCGGGTCAGGTCAGGTCAGGTCAACCAGTAAGGGTATTCGTAGTAGGTGGCAACCGCCTCTGACAGCTTCGTAACATGTTACGAAGGCACCAAAACTACTTCGTAAATGTTCATATGGTTGCTAAATTCGAATTCAGCTCCAAAAACTGACCTAGAAACATGTAAAACTCGAAAAAGTGAACCGAGGTCATTAAAGGTCAATGACCTGACCTGACCTTCAGGTGACCTTGACACCCACCCTAATGCATGGGGGCAACATCATATCACATGTTTGAACGCTTGTAACCACGAAAAGACTGCAAACGCGCGGCTAATGCGAGCCGACATACGCCGAATCGCGATTCCAGCCAAACATGGTCTCGAAAAGTAGGTCACAGGTCAAAGGTCATTTGGGTCAGGGTCATGAAATTTTCAGGGTAGGTGTGAAATTGATGAACGCGCGAGGGTACTGAAAGTTTCGTTGCGATCGGCCGCTATTTACGCGAGTTATTCGCGAAAAACCATGGGGGGGGGGGTTCGTTCGACCCCCCCTCTATACGGGCGAGGGTTAATTTATTGATTCTCTCGTACAACTATTTATTTTGTCATTAAATGCCTATGAATATGTTATCTATTTTGAATGTCACGAATAAAGCATTGCACTATGTTTCTTGTTTCTTTAGCTGATTTTGAAGGCGATCACACTTCCGCCTCACAAATAGCTGGTTGATCGATGCTCAACAGGCTTTTCAGTAATCATCAGCCATCGCCTATTGGCATATGGACGGAATGGGGAACAGCCAGGCAACGAGGCGACCTCTTCTGGAACTGGACAACGAGATGGATCCGTGCACTCAGCAGTCCGTGATGGCCGAGAGTAACACAAACAGCTACTGTTGTGCTAAGTTTATTTCCTTTGCGTAGATGGAGGCAGGCGACCGGTGAATATATGCCACGTGACTGACACCTCCCAGCCCTTGGTTCTGTGTCGAGTCTCAGCGTGCCTCGGGCAACTAAACAGAATAACTCCATGCCTTTTAAAGATATTCAAAAGCATTAAAAATGCAAACATAAAGCGGTATACACTTCGTTCTGTATTTATTATCAACTGTGGGAATGGGGTAAAACATGCAAACGTAATAGCATGCGCAGAACCAAACGATACCCTATGCGTTAAAACGACTTGGGTCCTGGCACAATAAATACAGCACCGTTTAAACAGCAACGACGATGTTGCAATCAATGACCGTAACAACAAGGAAAGACATGATGCTGCACGATACCCAGTACCCACTACAATATGAGTGAAAAACTCGAACACCGACCCAGACATCGCTGACACCGTGGTCGGAACACTGGCCACCAAATCGCAACCAACATAGTCCTGCAGTTGGCCCCGGTTGGTGTCTGCTGTACGGTGACATTGGCGCCCATGGAAACACGAACGGCCCTTCCCATCAACATTGTGTCAAATCAACAAGAAGACTGTATGCACTAGGCAGCCTGAGACTACATCAAAGCTAGTCTTAGACAGCAGCGCTGTTTATCACATTGGTCGACTCCGCGTTTTCACGTATCGCCAGTCACCACCAACTTGGCGTGTTCCCTTTCCCTAGTCCCCTGTTCATCTGAGGGGCGAAACGTAGTCTTCCAGGTCTGTGCCGGAGCCCAGCTGGATTTTGACGGAGCGTCCGCCGCCGGGCTCGGCCGCCCGGTCAGAGACGGTGACAAACACGGCACAGCCCGGAGGCAGCTTCTGCTGTTCGTGGGCCTCGGCCAGCTGGTTCACCACCTGAACACGGCCGAACACGGGGCAGTCTCAACGGGTTGGACAGAACATGCCAGGATGGCGGACATGCGAAATTCCGGCAAGGTGTACATGAACAGCTGCATCCTACCAGACAATGTCTTTAATCGTCTTTTCACATATTCGAACTTGTATCGAAAACTATCACTGCGGGTATTCCACTGAGTTGCAATCTCATCAGCGACAACTGAACAAATCAGGAGGAACGTACTGGTTGGGTCGCTAAACAGCCATTTAACAAAACTATGAAGGAATGAATTCAGCAAACCTTTCGACAGAATAAGGGACCACAAGAAAATGTATGTCCGGCACATTCCTTTTCGAGAATGATAAATGCTACAAGGGGGACTCAATGACTATAAAGGGACTCTATAAAAGGCAAGCTAATTTTTATAGACTTGTGTAAGCGTATTCAAAGATAAGTGCGAAAGGAGGCATCGAACAGTTTGACGTCTACACTGGCTTGGGTGCTCATGCCTATAACAAACGTGCTCTGCGTAGGAGTTATACCTGGCAGCTCACCTGTCTCTCCACCTCGTGCTTGATCGATCTGGCGCCGTAGTAGACGTTGTAGCCATCCACCAGCACGTCCAGCACGCGCCGGTCCCATTTCAGCTCGATGTCGTGCTTCTTCTTGGCACGGTCCGCCCAGAATTGCAGCTCGCGGGTGACTAGCTGACGCAGCTCGGGCCGCGAAAACGGAAGAAAATATACCACCTCGTTGATGCGACCTAGGAACTCATCACGCAAAAAGTGACGCTTTAAGATCGGCTGCACCACAGAATCCTTGAAGCACCGCGAGATGTTGACTCGTTCTGTGAACTCCACGTCGTCAATTTTGCCCTCGTAGCGTTCCCGTGCGAGCCGCTCGGCCTCACGGCGCAGTTCCATGGCGTGGTCTGCGATCTCGTTACTGGCCAAGTTTGACGTCATCACGAAGATGGCGTCTTTGCATTCGATGGTGCGGCCCTTGCCGTCAGTGAGGCGGCCCTCGTCAAACAGCTGTAGCAGGACCGTCAAAACGTCGGCATGCGCCTTGTCAACCTCGTCAAATAGGACCACGGCGTTAGGGCAGCTGCGTAGTCGCTTGGTCAGCTGCCCGCCGTCATCATGTCCAATGTAGCCGGGAGGCGAGCCGATCAGCTTGGCTACCTCGTGTTTCTCCTGGTACTCGGACATGTCCAGTCTGATAAAACCCTTGTTGTTGTTTTTGTGGAGATATGCGGCTATCTGTTTAGCTAGCTCTGTTTTGCCGATACCGGACGAGCCGAGGAAGAGGAACACGAGCGGGTGTTCTTCGTCGTACCACCCATTTTCTTTGCGGCGAATAGCGGACGCTACAGTGGCGATGGCACCGTCCTGGCCCACAATCTTCTCCTTGATGCGTTTCTCTAGCGGAAAGCGGCGCCGCTCCTCAGCTTCGCGGGCTTTCTGCTCGGCCACTAGTTTCTGCTCTGCAATGGTCAACAACTGCCGCATTTCTTCATCTCTGGCGTAGTCGATCGGTGAATGCCCGCTGTCGTTGCGCGCGACCGGTGAGGCGCCAGCGCGCAGGAGGACCGCCGCCACATCGTGCCGATCCATCAGCACGGCGTAGTGCAATGGCGTGCATCCGCGGAACGACACGCGGTTGTTGAGTCGGTCGCTGAACTCGTCTTCGCGGCGTACTAATACGTTCAACGAGTTGATTCTCTTCTCGCGGGCCGTCGAGAAGACACTGCAGAATTCGTCGCCACTGTCGACCTGAGCGCCGACGTCGAGGAGCGCCTGGACCGCCTCCAGGTGACCGCGGACGGCAGCCACGTGCAGGGCCGTCCAGCCCAGTGGGTGGCGCTGGTTCACGTCCTCGCCCGCCGCCACTAGCTGTCGGATCTCCTGCGCGTCACCAAAACGAGCTGCCATAAATAGTCTGGACTCGTCGTCCATAACTGCCCAGACGCTGGCCAGAAGGCCGGTGGCCAGCACCGGTAGACGAGGCCAGCGGCCGGAGCGCTCTTTGCTGCTGGCGCCGGCGCAGCTGTCGATTGGTGAAGGCGTATGTCGTCGGGCAGCCATCGGGGGGAGTACTTGTGAAGTACAGTCAGTACTTGTAGAGGCGGCCGCAGGTAGTGGCGACCGTTGCATCAAATGTTGCAGAGGTTGAAGCTCAGAGATGGCTTCCAACGACCGCTGGTAGTGGCAGAACATCTTCCTAGAAACACTTCTCGAAGCTGCAAATAAGGAAAGTGGTAACAATTTGTACAATCGCTAGTAACTTGCGATCCTTTGTTTCGTTTATGTGCTGGAATGTAACAAATACAGCCAGCACAACCGCACAGTGAACCGCGAGCCTCGAACATAAAATCACACATAGCACGTCAACGGGACATAATGTATGGGTCGAACATGTGAACAGCAACAAACACTATCAACGTGGAAAGTTCATTAGCACACAATTTAAAAAGCACACCTTAGTCTGTAGGTACGCTCAAAAGTATCAACGAGCTACAAACACGTAAAAAAGGAACAAGAGCATTGCGTACCTACTTATTTCATCCTATCTCACATGTAGCTAAAGGCTTATACCTATCTTTGAAGACAGTCCCTATCTAAGATATGTAAACTCTGATATTTGGCAGCATAGACCTCAATGCACTGTAAAGTAAACAGGAATCTATGTTAGAAACAGTTATGCTTAAAAAATAGACCTATAAATCAAGTTTTCATGGACTGTTTACTTTAGTGTTTACCATCAAAGTAGATAGCGGGCACAATTTGCCTATAAATTTTGAAATGGTAGCAAAAGTTGAACTACAATGATAGGTAGGTATATCGCAAAATCTAGTCTTAAATAACTTCAGTATTTCACACCAAATGCCAGTGCCCCCTTGTCCTGCTGGGCAATGCATGTGGCATTGCCGCCATTCTGGTTAGCACCTGGTCCACTGGATATGAGCCTAACCCAAACCAACCAACTGACCTCCCTGTCTAGCAGATGGTTCACAATCAGCTGATCCACAACTCATATTGGCTGGTTGACTCTCCTTCCTGGGCCCTGTTTCAGCGGTGATAGCAGCATGCTGCTATTACACGTGTCAATTTGGGTTTCCACGGAAACATCAATAAACCATTACATCTTCAATCTGTGTGATGTCATCAAATATTGCTGCTAACATCTTCACAGCCGTGCGATCAAACAAATGTATCAAACGCATTCAACAAGACAGCAATTCTGTTCCAAACGTCTTGCAAATGTCTAGAGCGCCTGATCTGCCACCAGCTTACAACCTACCTGGAAGCAGACATGTGCATGGATCCGAGAGCTGGATCTATGATCTCAGTGGATCTCTCGACAAAATAGAGGGGTTGGATCTATGATCCGAGTGGATCTCTCGACAAAATTCAGGGGTTGGATCTATGATCCGAATGGATCTCTCGACAAAATTTAGGGGTCGGATCTATGATCTCTGTGGATCCAGCGGGCAAAAATTTGTGGAGGACCTATGACCTGTATGGATCTCACGACAACATGTAGCCAATGAAACCCTTATCCTACATAATTGTACACCTTACAGTGCAATACAATTGAGAATTGTCACTTGTGGACATGGTTAAGACCAGTTGTAATCATTAGGTATCATCATTAAATTTGAATTTAAATCAACAACATTTGTACTACCGTAAAGTGGGGCTATTTGAAACGGATTTTACTGTTTTTGGCCTCTCCCTTCAAAACGGTTGATATTTCCCAGAGCATGTAAATTGGAAAAACGTAGTTCTCTGTAACCGCTTTCAGATAGGTCAATTTTGGTTCAGCTAGTAACCATGCATAAATTTATTTTTTTAATGGAAGCCTGTTTCAAATAGCCCCATAGTGTGGGGCTATTTGAGACAGTTTTAGTTGCAAGGAAATTGAAGAAAATTGGTCAAGCTAGGGATAATTCTTTAAAAGCCATGCGATTGGAAATTAAATTTTGATACTTATGGCAAAAAGTATTTCTTTCAACTACAGTTATATAACCCTAGTAATCAAATTTTTCGTTTTTCGTTGGACATACCATTTCGGTCTGCTAAAAATTGCATTACTTTATGCTAGGACTGTCATAATATGATGTGATCCTAAGCTCTAAAAATCACAGGATGATTATCTAGGATAATTTCTAAGCAAACGATAGTGAAATTTTCAAATAAAGTTGTTGTGTTTATATCTGGCGGCGTAAAACATATAGGCCGAAAGTTGGTGGGGCTATTTGAGACAGGCTCGCTACTGCATTAAACGCACCGTAATGCATTAAAAAAGGGAAAGCAGTTTCCAAAATGGTTGAATGAATGATATGCATGATCGATTGCTCCATTGCACATCTACCTGTCAAGAAATAACAGAAAAAGGTCAAATGGTTTTGATTTTATACCGATTTTGCTAGATCACTGCATGCTGTATCGAATGGCCGGTTACCGCACTGCATCAAGTACGGTTCTCCAGTAAAAGTCTTGTTGGTTTTGCTTTTTCGGATATATCTGGTCCTATATAATGTTCAGATCCATAAGTACCAACCTGAATTATGTGTATGCACATTTACCACGAGACTGTGAAATTGCAACGTTGTGTGCCAAATACCTTCAGAGATATTGAACAAAAGCCTCATTTTGAGCCGTTTGGGGCATTCTGGCCGCAATCTTCCTGGGATCGCCTATGACATAAGTGGAGCCATCTACCGAGAGGGACGCGGAAACACAGAATCATGAATGAATCGAGCGCGTAGTAACCGGCAAATGAAAGGAAGACTCGGCAGAGGCTATCCGGGTGGCCGGCGCGCGGCGCGCCCTTAGGCATCGGCTGACCCTTCGGACCGCGTGGGGTCAGAGGTCGCACTCGGGAAGTCTCGGCTCTGGGTTTTAGCGCTGTGCAGCCAGGAAGGAACGGAGGATAGCGCTAGCCGACTGACTAGTAGCTCGGCTTATTCGTTTGAAGTGGAAGGGGAGCACAGAACGGGATGGTGGGCTGGTGGATGGTGGGACGGTGATCAGGTTGGCGCGTAGAACGCAGCTGAAGATGCATTGCATCTTCAGCTGCTGGAATGCTGGAAACAGCATGCAGTATAATGTGCGGGATTATGCCAGAACTCATAAAAAATTGAATTTACTTTCGGCCTAGGGAGTGGATGGGTGCCGTGACACACCATGACGAGCACGATGCTGTCAATATCTGGGCGCTGCAGCCTACAACCATTTTTCACCCATAACATTCAGGTCACTTGACCTGAACTTAGAGATCGGCTCTGATTGACCTTAGACCCTAAAATCGGGTACCCGTCGGGTGCGTCACGTTTTCTTCAGGGGCGCTCTACCTGTGCCTTTGATCTTACCAATAACTATAGAAAATCGAATAATAATATATAACAAAAAAGGCATGCTTCATTAACATTTTTATTCACACCCGCTCGTGTGCATGCTGCTTTGACCTTACCTGCTCGTATCATAATATATAGCTTCAATGCTTAACCCTCGACCTGCTTTTGGTTTTCTGCATATACTTATCGCTCCAATTTGAGTTATTAGGCTGGGGGGATCCATGTGATCGCAAGGCACCTCGCAGTTGCGATCAAACGTAAGTTGAATCGGAACAGATATTGGAGGGATCCATCACATCGTAGGCTAAGTAGATACGCAAGTTGTATCGCAAATGGTGAAGATACGAACTAACTTTACGAATCTTCTCGGTCGATCGGAAGGCCGATCGTAGCGAAGCTTTACCTCTTTCTCAAGAGAAAAATATAAGAAATTTTCAAAATTTTCACAAAACCGAAATATTTGTTAAACAAATATGGTTGATGAACACGTGTGCAAAATTTGAAGTCGATTTCTTCAAAAATGGCTGCGCTAGAGCGTTTTAAATTTACACGTTGAAAACGGTCACTTTTACGTCATTTTTGTAATTATTTTTTTTTCAATTATGAAATTTAAAAAGTGTTTTGGGCAATTTTTCGCGTTAATTGCGAAAATCTGACCAAAACATGTATCGCACCATCAATGATCCGATACGCCATCAGAGGCCGCGCCGCGGACAGGTGGGCACGGCGATACCTAGGCCGCGTGGGAGTTACACTGGTGTTCGGGAATGGCTATGTCAACGCGAGGCAGGCCGCGGGGGAGCCGGTTGCGGCGCCGGTCCGTATTTGTCGGCGCCTAACAGTGCAGCGGTGCGTTTATGGCGGAGGGAGGGGAAGCGGTGTAGTGTCGGCAAGGCCGCACACAGGAGAGGGCACACGCCCCCCCCCCCCATTCGAGTTGGGGCCCCTAATCTTTAGACCGCCGAAGACCATGTAAAATGAACTGAAATAATGATTGAAAAGACCGGGAGGGCCCATCTCGTTCCCCAGCAGGCCCATACGAGTCCATAAATGCCCAGTAGCGCAGCCAGGGGTATTGTGGTGAAATTTCAATGGCCCTCAATAGACCTCAAAGGGCCCACAGATGGGGTCACCGGGTCCTCAGATGGTCTCGAAGGGCCCTCGGTTAGCGTCAAATGGCCCTCATCTGGTGTCAAAGGGCCCTCAGATGGCCAAATGAAGGGTCACAAGATGGCCTCAAAGGGCCCTCAGATGGGTTCAAAGGGCTCTCAGCCAACGTTAAACCTACCTCAGAAGACCTTAAAGGGCGTCAAAGGGCCCTAAACCTGCGTCAGAGGGCCCTGAGCTCGCGTCAAACGACCCTCCGAAGGCCTTAAAGAGTCCTTAGCTTGTGTCAGAGGGCCCCCAGCTGGTGTCAGTGAGCCCTCCTCAGCTGGCGCCAAAAGTCCATCTGAAGGCATCAAACGGTCGTCAGCTGGAGTACAACGGTCCTCAGATGCCGTCACGCGGCCCTCAAAAGCCTCAAGGAGCCCTTATAAGGTCTCAAAGGGCCCTCATTTGGCCTCAAAAGGCCCTCCACTAGCGTTAACCGGACTTCAGAAGGCCTTAAAGGGCCCTTATCTGGTGTCAGAGGGCCCCCAGCTAGTGTCAGAGGGCCCTCAGTTGGCGCAAAATGGCCATCAGAAGGCCTCAAACGGTCCGTAACTGGAGTCCAGCCGCAACGGTCCTCAGGTGGCGTCAAGCGGCCCTCAAAAAGCCTCAAAGGCCGCTTAGAAGGCAGCAAAGGGCCCTCATATGACCCCAAAGGGTCCTCTGCTGGCTTCAAACGGACCTCAGAGGCCCTCATATGACCCCAAAGGGTCCTCTGCTGGCGTCAAACG